CTCTAAATCACTATTGATTAGAGAAATGCAAATCAAAACAACTCTGAGGTACCACACCACACCTATTAGATGGGCCAAAATGACAAAACAGGAAAATGATAAATGTTGGAGAAGATGTGGGAAAATTGGAACACTAATGCATTATTGGTGGAGTTGTGAAATGATCCAACCATTTTGGAGAGCAATTTGGAACTGTGCCTAAAGGGCTATAAAATTGTGCATCCCCTTTGACCCAGCAATACCACTTCTAGGTCTGTATCCCAAAGAGATCATAAAAATGGGAAAAGGATCCACATGTACAAAAATATTTATAGCAGCTCTTTTTGTGGTAGCAAAGAACTGGAAATTAAAGGCATGCCCATCCATTGTGGAATGGCTAAACAAATTGTTGTATATAAATGTGATAGAACACTATTGTGCTATAAGAAATGATGAGCATGCAGACTTCAGAAAAACCTGGAAAGACTTACATGAACTGATGCTGAGTGAAATTAATAGAATCAGGACAACATTGTACACAGTAATAGCCACATTGTGCGATGACTGACTTTGATAGACTTGGCTTTTCTCAGCAATGCAAGGATCTATGAAAACTCCGAAAGACTCATGATGGAAAATGCTATCCACATCCAGAGAAAGAACTATAGAGTCTGAATGCAGATGGAAGCATACTATTTGCTCTCCTTTTCTTTTGTTTTGTTTCTTCTTTCTTGTGGTTCCTCCCATTAGTTCTAATTCTGCTTTATATCATGACTGATATGAAAATATACTTAATATGAATGTATAAGTAGAGCCTATATCAGATTGCATGCTATCTTGGGGAGAGTGGAAGAGAGAGGGGGGAGAAAATCTAAAATTCAAAATCTTATGGAAGTGAATGCTGAAAACTAAAAATAAATTAATTAATTATAAAAAAAAGTTGATATTGATTAGATACCAGTCTGGAAAATAATCCCCCCCCTTGGTTCTCTGTCTCTCTCCCTACATCCCATTCTCTTCATCTCTCTCCTTCCCTCCCTATTACACAAGGTATCACTCACAGGATGTTTTACTTTTGAACTGAAAAGAAAGAGAGACATGGGGATGAGTATATTGTCCTTGGGACAATAAGGGAACTCTGTCTCCCACCTGAGGGGAGTAGCACCACACATTCACAGAGCGGGCCCTGCCAGGTGAAATGGGAATCTTGAGAGAATCCCACAGGTCAGAATTAAATGAACGTAAATACTATAGTTCTTTTCTCTAGCAAGCTTTTCTTTTGTGGGGATCTGAGAATGAGAATAAAGTAATCATGCCATTTTAATCTATTTCAGATAATCCGTTTTGGGGACTCCTATGAAGTATTATAAGGACTGAGTTCCTCTTTTCTTTCCATCCCCATTTTGTTATGAGACTAAGCTTGGAACAAGCAGAAACAATAATATTCCCCAGGAGCATTGTTTTCATTCTTAAATAATCTGACATAGAGAAGGCAATTCATTAATAAGAACCACTGCTCTTTGACCAATGGATTCTGAGATGTTGTGGGGGTGGGGAAGCTCTTAACACTTATGACTCTAGAGTTGACAGATGAAAGGAAAACAATTTCAGACTCTTAAAATCTCCACGTAGCACTTCTGGCTGGGAGAAACTGGTAACTTTTAAGGTTTATCTAAAAAACTAAGTTGTCAATCAGTCAAGTAGCATTAATTGGATGTCTACTGTGTACCAGGCACTGAGCTAAGCACTAGAGATACAAGAAAAGGAAAAACAAACAAAGAAAAAACCTAGGCACTTATTTCAAGGAGCTCCCAGTCTAATGAGGGAAACAACATGAAATCAACTATATACAATCAAGATATATTCAGGATGATGTGGAGGTAGTCAACAAAGCAAGGCGCTAGAATTAATGGACGTTGGGAAACAAAATAGATGCCCATCAACCAATGTAGATATCCATTAACCAACATCATCCATTGCATCTTGAGCCATCATCAGTTGTCTTGACTTTTGGCTTGCCACTGGACTTTAATGACTCTGGAGGAGAAAGTGAAGTTAATGACTTTTTGAAGCTTTGCCTCACTTAAATCCAATTTATACACAAGTCAAGACATTACCCTTGTGATGTCATTGGTCCTCTTTGAGAATGAAGGATGAACAATAACCGATGCCCCTTGAGTTGCAGATTGGTTAAACAAGTTGTGATACATGTATGTAATGAAAAATTAGTGTGTATTAAAAACACCCAGTATGTTGATAGATGAAAAGATCTATCTGAGGTGATATAGAGTAAAGTAAGCAGAGCCAAGAAAATAATATACACAATGACTGCAATGATGTAAATGGAAAAAAAAACAAAAAAAAATCAAAAGCAAATGTGAAATTATAAAGAACAATCATGGCTGAAAAGAAGAAATGTGAAAAGATAACCCCCACCCACCCCTTTACAGCGGAGGGAGGTGTACATATTTTTAGACTTTATTTATTTATCATTTACACTTATTTTTTTCCTCTTTCTTTTTTTTGTCCTTAAAAATACTGTTTGTCATATGGGATGGCTGTGGGGAAGGGAAAGGGGAAGGATATTAGGAGAAAATATGAGAGAACCAGGAAAGGATTCTTGTGGAAAGAGGAATTTTGGCTGAGACAACCAAGGAGGTGGAGATGCTGAGGGAGAGAATTCTAGACATGGGGGATAGCCAGTAAAAGTCTCCTTCCTTCCATATCCCACAGTGCGATGAGCCCTCAGAGAACAAAAGACAGACTCAGTCTTAGTCCATAAGGAATAGAACTGCCTTCCTACAAGTAGTATAACATAGCTACTTTTCCCACTACAATTAATAAGGCAGTGAGAAGTGAAACTATGCAGGGGTCACCAGGTCTCTGGGGAAAGAATAGAGGTTCTGTGGTGTTAAGGAAGAGGAAGGTGAGTAACCTGTAGAGGACTACCGTGGAATGAGAAAGGACAAAGGAATTTTAATGACTGTCCCCCAGCTGTGGTGCTGCCAAGAGACAAGGTCATCAGTTCCAGTGAAAGGGAACTTAAACAACTGGAAGGAAAATGAAGTCATTTGGTAAAACTGCTTCTCTCTTATAGTCACATTTTCCACCAGGGAGGGTGGGGACACTGGGCTAACCTGCCTAAATGTCCAGTCCTACATCACATGCAACCCTGTTAGGATGGTCCTCTCTGACTCTCCCCTTATCTCTTTTTCCTCTAAACTGTGGATTATTTTTCTTTTTCATTGCAGTAATCTATTTTTTTCTTTTTTTCTTTTTCAAAAAATTTATTTATTTAGTGTTTTCAGCATTCACTTTTACAAGTTTTAGAGTTCTAAATTTCCCTCTCCCTTTTCTCCCCACTCCCCAAGATATCATGTAATCTGATATAGGCTATACATGTACAATCAAATTAAACATATTTCCACGTTAGTCATGTTGTAAAGAAGAATCAGAACAAAAGGGAAAAAACATGAGAAAGAAAAAAGAGAGAGAGAGAAAATAGTGTGCCTCAATCTGCGTTCAAACTCCATAGTTCTTTCTCTGGATGTGAATAGCATTTTCCATCATGAGTCTTTTGGAATTGTCTTAGATCATTGCATTGCTGAGAAGAGCTAAGTCTATCAAAGTTGGTCATCACACAATGTTGCGGTTACTGTGTACAGTGTTCTCCTGGTTCTGCTCACTTCACTCAGCATCAGTTCATGTAAGTCTTTCCAGGTTTTTCTGAAATCTGCCCACTTACCATTTCTTATAGCACAATAGTATTCCATTACATTCATATATCTCAACTTGTTCAGGCATTCCCCAGTGGATGGGCGTCCTCTCAGTTTCTAATACTTTGCCATTGCATAAAGAACTGCTATTAATATTTTTGTACATGTAGGTCCTTTTCCTATTTTTATGATCTCTTTGGGGTACAGACCTAGAAGTGGTATTGCTGGATCGAAGGGTGTGCACAGTTTCATAGCCCGTTGGGCATAGTTCCAAATTGTTCTCCAGAATGTAAACTGTAGATTCTTAACCTGGGATCCACAGACCCCAAAGACTCGATAGATATATTTCAGAGTAGGGTCTTTAAATTTGGATGAGAAAAATTTGCTTATTTTCAGTAACTTTTGGTTTCCTTTGTAATTATATGTATTTTATTTTGTGAATATAAAAACACTGTTCTGAGAAGGGGTCATCTTTCCCATACTGCCAGTGATACTGAGCTGTGAGGTTTTTTTCCCTTGGCAGGGATAGATTATGCTGAATCATCAAGACAAATAACCTCTTCCCTTTGTAAGCAGTGGCCTACATTTACTCAATCTGTGGTTAGAGCTGTGCCCATGTGACAAAAATTTTCTCCCTGAGAAGCTCACTTGCTCATATGAGGATCAAACTTCTGTTAACAGTGTCTAGGATCTTAGAATCTTAGGGTGTCAGTTGGAAGTTGTGGTCACCTAATCCAATCTCTTACCCAATATGGAACCTTCTGTAATACTGTGACAGATGGTCCTTAAGCCTCTGCATGAACACCTCCAATGGTGGAAGCCTCAGTATCTAACAAATCAGTCTGTTGCACTCAATGTATTTGTCAATAGTTGTGGTTAATTAGGTCATTATTATTTTGAACTGAAATCTATTTCTCTGTAGACATCCATTGGAACTACACAAAACAGGTCTAAAAATTCCTGTTCCACATGACAGCTTTTCACGTACTTCAAGACAGCAATTATGTCTTCCCATGCCTTCTTGTAGGTTAATTTGATTTCATCATTGGAAGAAACCCTAGAGATTTTGCTGTTTAGAATCATCAAGGGAGACATCTTAGATCTCAAAGAGATCTAAGGAAAGCATCTGGTTCAGGAGAGCCCTCTGGCTTCAGGCAGGTCAGGTATGGGTCTTATTTTACAGAACAGAATTAAACAGAATTAAAACCCAGATTTGTTAAGTACCTCTGGGTAACACCACCATATGCAAGAAAGATAATTTCTTTACTATTAAGAAAGACTGAAAATATAATTTTTTTCCCCCAGATTACACAGAGATGGAACAAGAGAGAAAACCATACCTGACACCCACAGGGCCTTCTTCTTCAGAGATTTTGCCAGCTAATTACAAAGCATCTGATGCCCTTCCAACCAACATGGACGTTTCTGGCCTGCAGTTTATTCCAGTGTTGTCGGGGAATCCAAGCACGAGACATACAAAGAAACCTGGGGTAGTGCCTGAAAATTCAAAGAGCCCCTTATCTCTTGCCTTTAAGCACACAGTAGGACATGTAATACTTTCTGAACATAAAGATGTCAAATTCAATTGTTCAATCAGTGTGCCTAATACATACTTAGACAATGCAGTTCTCTCTTGGTGGAAAGATGGGAAGGAGCTCCTGGGGGCTCATCATGTGATCACACACTTTTACCCAGATGATGAATTTACAGCAATTATTGCAACTTTGAGGTAAGTGCTTATTTCTTCCTTCCTTCCCTTCCTCCCTTTTCCCCTTTCTTTCCTTCTTTTTCATTTCCTTCCTTCCTTCCTTCTCTCCCTCCATCCCTCCTCTGTCTTTCTTAATAACCCTCCATAAACAAAAAATATTTTTTAGAGTCCCCTTCTAGGGCTGCATAAAGTTCTGCCATCTTTGGCTCCATTTTCATTCTTGCTTTTGTGTTTTTTTTTCATAGTTGTACATATAAAATAAGTTTTGCTGATATTACTCTGCATTGCTTTGTGTAGGTGTTTCCTTGTATGCTTGAGAGTTATGGTTTTTATGGCACCATAATATTCCAGTGGATAGAGCGCTGGTCCTGGAGTCAGGAAAACTCATTTTCCTGATTTCAAATCTGGCTTCAGACACTTACTAGCTCTGTGACCCTGGGGAACTTAGTTAACCCTGTTTGCCTCAGTTCCTCATCTGTAAAATGAGCAAACCGCTCCAGTATCTCTGCCAAGAAAACCCCAAATGGGTCATGAAGACTTGTATATGGCTGAAATGACTCAACAACAATATTCCATTATGTTAATATACTCAGATTTGTTTATTCTCCAGTTGTTTGGAAATAAATGTTAGTTTCATCAGTTATTTATTTGTTACTCTTAAGAACTAAAGCATCTCTAACTATGTTTCTATGGACAGGTACTTTGTTCCTTTTTTTTGATGTTTCTGGGACAGAGTCCTAGCAATGGATACTCTGAATATGATTGATTTTGTGATTGATCAGTATTTGCTTATTAATCTCCAAAACATTTATACCAGCCTGCAGTCCCAGCCACAGTGTTTAGTACTCTGGTTTACCCATCACTCCACCAATACTGAATTTTATCTTTTTTGGGGTGGGGGGTCTGCTCTTATAATAAGTGCGAAGAAATTAAGGTAGTGTTGATTTCAGCATTTCTTTTCTTATTAAGAAATTTGAATATCTTTTCATATGGCTATTGACAGCTTGTATTTCCTTAATTATCTAAAAGTATACCCTCTTCAATGGAACAGTGGCTAAAGGACATAAACATGTATTAGGAATATCATTTAAAAATTAATGATAGGGTCATAGATTTCTAGCTGAAAGTGACCTTAGATGTCATCTAGTTCCACTTCTTTACTTTCCATATGAGAAATTGAGGTCCAGTAAAGGCACTTGTCCAAACTCACCCAAGTTGTCAGTCACAGAGCTGAGATTCCAAGCCAGGACGTCCAAATTCAGACCTCTTTCCATTATGTCACACTACCTCTTAATGGCATTTTAAAATGCTAAATCAGTTCTGATTTAAAAGCATTTTCCTCTTAGAGAAAAAAAATTAATAATTTAACATAGAAATTAGAGACAGTTGGTGACACAGGGGTAAGAGCTCTGGGCCTGGAGTCAGGAAGATCTAAATTCAAATCTGAGCTCAGACACTTACAAGCTGTTTGACCCTGGGGAAGTCACTTAGCCCTGTATGTTTCAGTTTCTTCAACTGTAAAATAGGACTAATAATAGCACCTACCTTGCAGAGTTGTTGTAAGGATCAAATGAGATAATATTTGCAAAAAGTGCTTAGCACAGTGCCTAGTAAAAGTAACTGCATCAGCTTTTAAATAAATCATAGCTAACTTTTCTTTCTTTTATATTAACCTAATGTTTCTGCATATCTTCTATGCTATAGATTATAAAAAGTAAAATCACCAATCTTTATAGACTACAAATTGCTACAAGTCTGCAGGAGGGTTATTTCTGACAGATAGTATGAAGTAATGCCATCTTTTAATCAATTTATCTTACGCCTTGGTTTTCAGATTTCTACTAATAATTTTAAATGACTCCAAATCCCAGTTATTTGATTTTCTATCTTTGTACTACTCCACTTTGGTTTGGTATCAAAAAGCCAGTTGATCCAGGTTGAATATTAAGGGCCGTGGCAATCAACAGAGATGATGAATTTGGAATGCTTCTTTGTTCTTCATACCAGTTTCATTCAGTTTAGCAACCATTTGTTAGGTGCCTATGTAACAGCTAAAATAAGATAAACTGAGGCACAAAGTTCTGAGCACAACCAATTTATTAGTAAAGCATGAATTTACCAATAAATAGGATCTCAGCTTTCCCAGTAAGTTAAGATCCCAAATGAGGGGGACAATTTTCTTTTATAGATTTTGGGGAGTGCAGAACAAAGAATAGAGCCTGGTAGGTGACATCATGTGGTTGAGGACGACATGATTGGTTACATAACTGAGGTACTGGGAACAATATGATTGGTTGGAAGTGGAGAATTGAGGGGCTACAATAACCCCCCCTTTTCCTATATGACTTAGAAAGTGTTCGTTGTTTGAGTCCATCTGCAAACCGAACATCCTTGAAAGGTAGCTTGGTGGTATAAAGATACTAGATGCCAGCTCCATCCCCCAAGATAGCAGAATTCCTTCAGGCAAGAATAGAACATTGATTAATTAGCAAAAGAACTGGAGGTCTAAACTTAACCCTTTACAGACCAGCTGAATTCTAAACTAAGTTCAGAGACAGAGAACCATGACTTAAGCAGTTATAGGACAAAATCAATTAATTGTAAGTAGGATCAATAAAAAAGGATACAGAATCAATCTTGATCATTTCACCTACTATGTGTAAGGCACATAGGTGCCGGGGATACAAACTAAAAAACTAAACCGCCTCTGTATTTAAGGAGCTTAATTCTATTGGGAGAAGGGATGTAGCATGTACATAGAGAAGTAAAAACAAAAAGTATTTACAAGGTAATTATAAATTAGAGCACTAACACCTGGGAAAAGGCAATCACCTCCTGTAGGAGGTGGTATCTGAGCTAGGGATGTTGGTGTGGCGGTGAGAAAGCATGGACATCTACTTGTGAAAAGGAATGGAGGTAGGAGGTTGACTTTGGTGTGTGAGGAGGTAAATCAGTTTGACTAACAGAGAGAGTACTTGAAGATACAGAAATAATCCTGGAAAGGTAGGTGGGGACCATGTTGCTTTATATGTTGGGTTGGTGATTTTGTATTTGTTTATTCTAGAAGCACTGGGGATCTACTAAGATTGTGAATGAGGGAACAATCTGGTCAGACCCATGTTAAGAATATTCATCTGGAGGATGAATTTGTGAGAGGAGAAATAGGAAGCAAGGAAGCTGAATAAGAGATTATGGTAATAGTCCAGGTGAGAGATAAGGAGGACCTAAATTAGTACAGAAGTTTTGTGAGTGAAAAAAAAGGAGAGATTGGAGAGTGCTTGTGAAAGAATAGATGAGGCTTGGCAATTGATTGACCATGGGGACTGAGGGAGAAAGAAGAGTCAAGGATGGTGCTGTGATTGTGAATGTAGAGGACTAGAAGGACAGTAATTTTCTCAATTAAAATAGAGATGTTTAGAGGAGCTGTTGTATTCTGGGCTAGGCCTGACTCCTTTGATGGTTTAGGTTACATACTGGAATGAAATGAAGCCATTTCATTAAACAATTAACAAATTGTAGGTCATTCAATGAGGAACAAAAAGAAATTGACTGAGCCATAGTAGGGGGAGGATATTCAGCAAGGATATACATCAAGGAAGGGAAGAGGAGAAGGGAACAAGCATTTATTAAGTGCCTGCTATGTGCCTAGCATTTATTAAGCACCTGCTATATGCTAAGCACATAGTAGGAACTTTATAAATATGCTAAGCACGTTACAAATATTATCTCATTTGATTCTCACAATGAGATAGGTGCTATTGTGATCCCTATTATATTTTTCTATTGAGGAAACTGAGGCAGACAGAGGTTAAGTGACTTGCCCAGAATCATAATAGCTAGTGTCTGAGTCACATTTGAACTCAGGTCATCCTAATTCTGAGCTACTGCAAGTTGATTCAGCTGAAGCACCCTGCCTCTGAATTGCTCATTATGGTCTGCCAGCCAAGTACCTTTGGAGCTTCTCTGGTGGTTTTTTTTTTTTTTTAACTCGGGCAACAAGAAAGTGATGTCAAGAGCCTGAACCTTTAGTTCCCTGAACCAATTAAATCTCAAAAAACAGTTTCAGTGCCTTGTAAGAAAAAAAAAAAAACTAGCCTACCTTGAATGAGGAGTGGGGAGTTTAGGATATTGTTCCCACCATAGTTGAGTTTTTGGGGAAAACAAGGAGTTATGTTTTGGATGTATTGAAGTGAAAAGGAGGCAGCTGGTGGTAATGTGGGCCTGGAGTTTAAGTTTGGGAGAGAGGGAGATTAGTAAAATTAATCTAAACCCTCACATTTGAAGCTTTACTAAATAAAGACTGCAAGAAAACTGCTTTTTTCATTGCAACACTTTCTATTGTCTCACTTTACCTTTTAGGTCTTTTGGCCAGCAACTTTTTGCCATGACTTATTGGTCAGAACCTCCTAAGGTAGATGGATATTAGTTTGCTTTTGTACCCACTAACTAAAATCTACAGAGAGGAAAGAGTCCTGTAAAGCAGGAGCTAGTTTCCCCATAATTATTCCACCAAGTAATCAAAATATAATTTTCTACAAAACAAAACTTTGTGCTTGTTGTTCTTGGACTTGGTCCCTGGTACAATCATATGACTCTATCAGAGAAGAAGCAGGACTGAAAAGGAAGAAAGATATAAAAAGATTTTTAAAAACTTTCTATGGTTCTTTTGCAGGAAACAAACTCAGAACTACCATCATCCTAGCAATCCTGTGGTATATGCTCTATTGGCATTTCGATAGGTGGCTATTTCTTGAGTTGTTTTTTTTTTAAATAGGCAGTAGGGTCTTTTAGCTGCTATGAAAATGACACAACCATCAGTCAGTGCCAGGTTTACTATGTGCCAGGCAATGTGCCAAATGCTGGGGATGCAAATGCAGGCAAAAAGAAAGACAGTCCCTACCCTGAAGGAGCTTACTTTTTAACTGGGGATGAAAACACATAAAAGGAGAGCTGAAAAGCAAGAGTCAAGGGAAGATGGGGGGATAAAGCAGGAGCATGAGTGCTTAGTTCAGAGAATGAGGGGTGGCTGCTCGGGGGACTTTCCTCAGAATGGAGGCTCTGGGAAGAACTTCCCAATGAAAAAATGAGTCCATATGATTTACCTTCATCTTTGTAATGTTCCACCACTTTGAGCATTTTGATTAGTTATGTCAACCACATAATTGGTCTTGACTAATTTTTTTTTCATTGAACTAACAGGTTTACTTAATTGAATACATTGACCAGATTTCTCTTAGCGTCGTATAGCCATAGCCTGTGAGTTAAAAAGTAAAAGATTATTTAATGGCGTTAATAGATTAATAAAGACTTACTAGATTAAAAGCTCTAAATATTGTAACTAGTTAGGAAGGTCAGCAAATTAGCTTTCAATGATGTGCAATTTAGGAAGAACCTGAGTGTTCAAAGAAGAAAAGCATGTGCTTTTTTTTATCATCTATTTATTTATTTCATGTTTCAACATTCGCTTTTATAAGATTTTGATAAATTTTTATAAAAATTTTCCCCTCTCCCTCCCCTCCCCTCTCTCCAAGATGGCATGCAATCTGATATAGGCTATACATGTACAATCATATTAAACACATTTCCACATTAGTCATGTTGTAAAAGAAGAATCAGAACAAAAGGGAAAAACCACAAGAAAGAAACAAAAAGATAGAAAATAGGAGAGCAGCTGTTTTTGAGATCTTCATGCCTTAGCACCTTCCATAGGAAGGACCGATTCAGTTTGATTCCCAAAATAAAGAATTTCCATTTCTATTGGTAATGATCCCTCATTGGACTACTTTACTTCGCAAGTTTCTAATTCTGAACTTCTGTGAGTTCGAATGTTACCAAGGTAATATTTTGAGACAGTTGGTGGAAAATTCATTCTTTTGTATTTGCTAACAGGGAAATTAGACATGTTCAGTTTAGGAAGTCAAGTTATATCCCTTAGAAAGGGAAAAAGTCATTCTTAAAAATTAAAAATTAACTTGACATATAGTAAAGTGTCTGCTATTTGCTTGACACTTTGCTAGACACATTGGGACACAAACATAAAAGTGAAATGATTTCTGGACTCATGGAGTATACGATCTCCACAGGGAATAGAAAATGCTGAGCCTTAATTAGGAATTTTGCACCTGTGGAAAGGGGGCAGCAGTGTAACTCCACCACCAGTGGCAGTATGCCTGCTGGAGGAAAGGGGTGGGGGTGGAAGCAAGGATCAAAACCATGTGGGAAGAGGATGGAGTGTGTATCATCCCTATTGCCCTCTCTGCTACAAGAGTTGTACCAGGGATCTTTTCAGTGGCCCTGCAGTAGATGAGCTAACATACTAATATTTTTATTCAACTACAAAAAGTATTTTATCCACCTCTGCTATAGTCTGTAGAACATTAAGTATAAAATGATAATAGCAGGAGAATGACTTATCTCAGAACATTTCTTTCTGAACTCCATTGAAAAAGATGAGAACAAGAAGATACTAAAGTAGGGAATGAGTTAGGATCTCAAATGATGGAGGGAATGCCCATATCCATTAGATCAGCCAACTGAATGTTTTGAGTACTAATAACAATAATAACTAATAGAATAATAAATAACTCAGTGTAGTACAGGGAAAACTCCTGTCTTAGGTAGTTCTTGTTACTGGTTTATAGCAGAATTATATGAAATTAGTAGGTGAGGCACCATCTGGGGTGCAAGCATATATTTCATGAACAGCTATCAGCTGGAGAAAGATGGAGTTAAGCACAGGTGGAGAACCCTGAGATGTTATCCTTACTCCTTTTTTCTTCTTATAATCCCTAGTGTCCCGCAGGATTCAGCTCAGATACTACTCTTCCTTTAGGCCCAAACTCATATGCCAAGTTGTCTGTGCTCACTCCCTCTTCATATTATTCTGCATTTACTTATCTGGATGTATGTTATATTACTCTCCACCCTCCCCCTCATTGAATACAAGCTCCCTGGGGGCAGGGACTATTTTATTTTTGTATTTGTATTTGTAGAGCTTAGCACAATGTCTTGCACCCAGTAAGTATTAATAAACATTGAATTTAAAAAAAGAAAAAAAAACAAACCAAAAAAACCAAAACATTGAATTGGATTCAATGGTCCTTCCTTCAGCTCTCTAGGGTTAGGGAATCCATATGTACAAGTCTCCAACGTCGTTTAGAAAATGAAAGCTGTTGCCATGAAATTTTTTTAACCTGGGTGGCCAATTTTGGCAGGCAAAGGAATAAAAATAATAATAGCTAAGAGCTGGCATTTATATAGCACTTTAAGCTTTGCTTAGAATTTTATATATGTTTTCTCGTTTGATCTTTATAACAATCCTGTGAAGTAGGTGCTGCTATTATCCCCATTTTACAGATGAAGAAATTGAAGCAGAGAGAGGTTAAGTGACTAGTCCAGAGTCACAGAGCTAGTCAGTGTCTATAGCAGGATTTGAACTGAGCTCTTTTTGACTCCAAGGTCTATGCTGTATCACCTATACTACCTAGATGACAATGGTTGATGAATGTAAATTTCTCTTGCATCTGTTTGGTTATGTTGACACTTATCATTTCTTCCTTAAAAAAAAGTTTTATTGATGGATTTTGTTTTTCCCTCAAAGTCATTTTCACTTGCTCTTAGTCTCAATAAGACCAAGAAGTGGTTGAACTGAACCTGCCCTTGAAACAAAGAAAAACAGTTAAGCAAAAATCAACCAGTGACCAGTCTAAAAGTGGATGCAACACCATGCTCTTGTAGTCCCCTGCTTCTCTTCCTTAGAAGTAATTTCCAAAGACAACTTTAAAGGGGTTGGAAACTTGGGAAATAGAAATAAATTGTGTGTACATGACAGTACTTCTTCCTATTTGTCAATCATTGGTATTTGCAGCATGGAAAACTCTGTGGGGTCTGTGTGGGGTCTAGAAAATGTAGAAGACAGAAGAAGAGACAAAGAACTGAAAGTTTCAAAGCCATACCACCTTGTCAATTAAGCCTTTCAATTAATGTCTCATTTCTTTGTGGGGATTATTCAGGATAGTCATTAGTCTAGAAAGTAAAGATCTTTTTTTTTCTTTTAAGCATAAACAATGTGCAGCGCTCTGATAATGGGTCCTACTTTTGCAAATTAAGAATAAACAGTGATGAAATTGTGTCTGAGCCCATCTACATTGAAGTACAAGGTAAGTCAAAAGACAAATGATTGAGAGAATAGGGCTGCTCACTGAAGGCTTTGTTAGGATCCTCTGAAGTAAAGGCTGTGGGTACCCCCATTTTGATAGACAGATAAAACATTTATTACTTATTAATGTTTTCCTCCATTAGACTGTGAGCACCTTAAAAGTAGGGATTGTCTTTTGCTTTTCTTTATATCCTGAGCACTTAGCACAGTGTCTGGCACGTAGTAGGTGCTTAATAAATACTTGTTGACTTGACTAATATGGGCCAGATGCTGTCTTTAGCTCTGGGGATAAAGATACAAGTAAGCAAGGCAATCTATTGAAAAAAACACTATAAACAGAAGACATGGAGAAGGAGGGAATACCCTGGGAAGTGAGGTGGAGGACTGGATCTGGGCAAGATTAAGTGAAATCTCTTGACCAAGATGGTTCCATAGGCAGAATCCAAGTTTTTCCTGAGGAGAGAGGTGGGGATAATGTCCAGAGAACAGATAGCATGGTTTGAACAGATAAGGAAACTGAGGCATAGGTTAAGGGATTTGCCTGTGGTCACACAACTAATCAGAGCTGAGGTCTGAACCAAGATTTCTTTCATTTCTAAGTTTAGTGCTATTTCCACTGCAAAATGAAGCCTCTCTGAAATCGCTTTCATATTCACTTGTCTGCTGATAACATTTGTTACTTCTTTGGTGCAAATGGATATTTGCTTACTTGGCATCTTTCACTATTGTTGGTTTACCATTTACTAGTCTCAGCTTACTCTTAAAGGAAATGAAGCACAAAGTGGGTGAGTATCTTTCTTGGGTTCAGACTGATGTTTAGTCATTGACTCCTGCCCTTTTCCTAAGATCTGAAGTCATGTTCTTTTTTTTCCCCCCCAAGATATTCATTTTGTTTTGTGATTAAAGCAAGAAGCATTTTTCCCATGGAAGCTTTTCCTTGCTTCCTATTCTTCTGAGAAATTTCTTAAAGAGTTAAATATCTTTATGGAACATGATTTTTTTTATTGGGTAGGAGAAGGGTTAGCAAAGGAAAAGGGGAAAAGATGCGTGACCCAGACTATTGCCCAAGACTGACCCAAAAGAGGACAGATTACCTTTGAAGGTTTGGAATAGCTTCATCAAGAGAGATTCTCCATAGTTTGCCACTCATCTGGAAAAATTAGGGGAGCTTTCATTGGTCAGGATGCCAGGAAAATACCCAGGGTAGGAATTAGTCTTTATATCCAAATAGCTTTGCATACATTCTGAGTCTCCAAACAACCAATTTTCCAACATTCCTAGGATATCCAAATTAGAACCAGTGAGTTATTCTGATCTCAAGATAAAAAAAACCTTAGAAGCTTTTGGATCTGTTCAATTTTTAGCACATGCACCAAATATATATCTACTGGAATGCTTGGAGGTACTGCTGAGCTTCTGTTTTAAATGGCCCCATATTTGGGTTTCCAGTAGATCTTACCAGTTAGGATTTTAACTTCTTAGTTGTCCAAATGAGATAATGTATGTAAAAGTGCTTTGAAAACTAAAAATGCTATATGGGTTCATGGTGACATTATGGAATTTCCAGCCTTTGTTCCTACTTTTGCCTCCTCCTCCTCCTCCTCCTCTTTCTTCTTCTTTCCTCCTTTGTCTTCCTTCTTTCTTCTTCACTTCCTTATCTTGATTCCACTACTGATCAGCATAGGAACTTTGACCTGCTCTGTTTCTGACATGACCTAATTTGTCCCTCTTTAGATAGCCTGGTGGTTCCTTTCCCCACTTCTGGGAGATTTCACCATATTGGTGCCGGACTTAGCTTGAACGTCTAATCAGTTTAGCCCTCTGTAGCTCAGGACTACTAAACTCAAGTGATCTACCAGCCCCAGCCTCCAAAAGAAGAGGAATTATAGGCATGTGCCACCTTGCTTCACCCCTACTTCTTTCTACTAATCCTCATATATCATGAATTTGATGGCTTCCACCGTCATGATTACTCCTCTCTGAGACTTTCCAGTTCTATAATGATGATGATGATGATACTTATTATAAGTCACATATGTAAAGTGAGGAGACTAAAACTGAACATAAAAATGAATATGCTTTTTATTTGACTTTATGTTTATTATAGTAAAACAAAAACCCATAAGTTTGCATTACAGCAGTGAGCTACAAATATTTTAATGGTTTCTTATTATCACTCTTTCATACTTTTTTTTTTTAACATTTTAATAAATACAATTACAAAACCTTTGGAGAATTTGTGTAGGAAATAGATTTGTGGTGTAGGTTGATTGGTAGGAATTAGCCATTGTGTTCTTTTTAATAGGCTTTTATCAGGTTCAGTGAATATTTTTCCAGGCCTCAAGAAGATCGGAAAGAAATAAACTACTTTTCTGGTAGAATTGTTATTTTCCTCAGGACCTTTTTCTTTCTGTTTTTTCTTAATGTTATTTCTTATTCTCTTTTTAAGGACTTCCTTATTTCATTAAACACCCAGAGAGCATGAATGTTAGCAGAAACACAGCCTTCAATCTCACCTGTCAGGCAGTGGGACCTCCTGAACCTGTCAAAATTTTTTGGGTTCGAAATAGCAATCGTGTTACCAACAAGCCAGAAAAATCTCCTTCTGTTCTAACTGTCTCTGGTAAGTCACATTGTGCATTCTTCTGTAAGAATTATAATCTGTGGCAAGAATTTAAATTAAAGCTTTTGATGGGAAACTCTCCTTTTTCTCATCTCTGAGAAAAGACCATCAGATTTGGCAATTAAGATATTATTAGGAGACAGTTTTGGAGAAAGCCATTTCATTTCAGTAATGGAGTCAGAAACCAGACTCTAAGGGTGTTGGGAAGTGAGTGAAAGGAGAGGAAGAGGAGGCAATGTGTGGAGATAGCTTATTTTTTGTTTTCCTAGGAGTTTGGCTGTAAAAGGGAAGAAAGATATAGAATGAATCAGCTGAGGGGATCATAGTGAGAGTTTTTTAAGAAAAAGGAGAAGACATGGGCATGTTTCTAGGCAGCAGGGAATGATCTACTTCATTTGATAGGGAGTGGGAGAGAGAGAGAGAGAGAGAGACAGAGACAGAGACAGAGAGAGAGACAGAGAGAGAAAGAGAATGACTGTGGATGGAATCATCTTGAGGGGATGGGATCAAAGATTCATGCAAAAGGGTGGGCCCTTGGTTAGTAAAAGGATATCCCTTCATCAGATACTGCAGTAGAAGGTGAGAGAACCGAAGATAGTGTTAAAGAATTTTGAGATGTAGAGTTAGAAAGAAATGTGACTGCATCATGGTATATAACCTCTCAGTGTTGTTGTGAAGATTAAATGAAACATTTTTAAAGTTCTTAACACAGTGCCTGGCACATAGCTGGTGCTATCTAAATGTTTATTCCCTTCACCTTCCCTTATCTATAAAATGGGAATAATTATAGCATCAACCTCCCAGGATAAAATGAGATAATGTTTGTAAAGCACTTTGCAAACCTTTTCATCCTGTACAGATGCTAGCTATGATGATGATTTGGTGTGGGAGTCTTGAAGATAGAAGAAAAGCTTTGAAATAACTGTTCTGAAGAGTATAATAGAGTATCAGTTAGGGAACAATAAAAGGTGATCTTGTTGCTTAGAGGGCTTAGTTATTATTCGATAACTTTGCCTTGTATTCAGTCATCCCTGTTCAGTAGCAGCAAAAGAGTCTAGTAGTGGGAGGAATAGAGGGTTGAAGTTTGTAATGTTATAAGCTGCACATTCCATACATTCTCTTGTTTTAAAAGAGGCTGTAGTCCTCCATTGTCATATTCCCACATGGTTCACATCCTACTGTTTCAGTGATATGTTAACAGGTAAAAGTTACTACCTCCTTGCATTAAGAAGGCAATAATAATAATTAAAGCTATATTTATATGCTTCTGAGAGGAGAGAGTATAAAGGAGGAGGAGGAGGCAATAGCAGTCTCAAAGGCTACAGAGAGGTCCAAAATGATGAGACCCTAGGAAAGGCCATTGGTTGTAACCATTGAGAGATCATAGAGACCAGCTGATGTTGGCATCTTTGAAAACTTTGTATCTCCTCCAGCTTCTAGCATAGTGCTTTGTACACAGTAGGCATTTATGAAATACTACTTGGTCTCTCTTAGAATTTAATTTTTATATCAAACAATGAGCCACTTATTTTACTATATCTTTTATTTTCTAATGGGTAAAATTGTGAGAATTTATCTTCATGCTGAAGGTGTGTCAGAGGTGGATCTTGAACTCAGGTTTTCTGGATTCTAAAACTGTGCCTATATCCAGTATACCACACTCTCCAGATATGCTGGGGTGGGGTGGGAAAGACATTTAATTTCTAACTAATATAGTATATAAGGAACAATGTTTTCAAATTATTTACAACATAAATTTAGAGTTTCATAAAGCTGGAGGGAACCTTAGAGATCATGCCATTCAGCAGATGATTAGATTGAACTTTAGAGAGATTGTTACTTGCCCAGAGTCATATAGCCAATTTGGGAAAAGCTAGAAATAGAACTCATGCTTCTTGGTTCCTAGTCTAATGCTCTTTCTATGATACTATACTGCCTCAGTTATACTATGGGTCAAATCTTTTCCTTTATATTCACTGTTATATTCTGTGTCTTTCATTTTACTACAGAAACCTGTAACAGAGGTATCATTCTCATCCTCTGACCACAGTGTTATGATGGAGTTCTGCCAAAGTGTAATTATGATATTAGTCATGCTTTAGTCTAAACAATTTTTAATGTGTGGTTTTAAGTGATGAGTTCATCACTTCATTGGATGACTGCAGTAATCAAATGGAGAACTATTTATTTGATATTTGCCAAGTAAATAGTAAATATCCTTATAAGTCACTTGAGAATGGCAAAGTGGGGCTCACAGTCTTTATTCTTATTTATATAACGATTCCAAATTTAGCTTTAAATGAAAAACTCTGACTTAAATTTAGTCTGCTAGGTCTGAATTGAAGCCTGGTTTCTAAACAATTATAAAGTATTCCAGAGAGGTTCAGGCTATTTTCTCATTTTTTTAAGGTTTTGAAAGGCAGTTCAAGCTGATGCTAAAGACTTTAGTGATCCAGGGAAGTACCAGAGTGAGTTCCAAGATTGTTAAATTTACATTTACACCTAAGAAATTGGCAAACACTAAAATTTAGGGCTTGATTTGTTTATTTTTTTTGTTGTTGTTGAATGTCTAGACCTAAGAAAGTGTTATATGCAGATTAAACTTAAAAGTATATCTTGTGTACATTCTGCTCTCCTCCCCTTTGTTAAACATTTACCAGCTCACCCATGGTGATGATCAGTTTCTATTAAAGGGGCTCAGGTAAGTTAGATTGACCCAGTGCCTATCCCCAGGGAGCTTATAATCTTAGCACTAGCATGACTAGGCATGAGAAAAATGTAGTAATTTGGATTTATGTAGTCATCTTTAACTTCTTGAGGCTCCTTCTTCTGCTGTCTTATCTTAACCTCAAGGAAACCCTGACATAGGTATTATTATACCTATTATACAGACCAATACATTTTAACTAATTTCCACATTGCCTTTTATAAACATTAGTGTTGTATACTGGGTCTCTTTCAATTTGCCACAGAAAGACTAGAACAGAGGTAAGCCATTCTCATCCTCTGACCATAGTTAATTAGAAAGTACTAGAACCCAAGTCTTATGACTCTAGGATTGCTGAGAATACAGTAAGTACTTAGTAGATGTATTGATTTGAGTAGCCAATGTCTTGCAGTATTCCCCACTCATTTTGAACAAATGTGTTTTTTAAAAGCAAGGCTTGGGTTTTTTGTTTTTTTTTTTTAGCTTATAAGTTAAGTATGAGAAAAGGGCTAGTGTCTGGAATTTTACTGCTAGAGGAATAGTTTGGCAAGCTCTTTGTTTAGACAGAGACATTTACTAAGAGTCCAAGGAAAAAGCGCTGGACTCAGTCAGGAGACACCTGAGTTTGAAGGCTGCCACTGAAACTTATTAGCTGTGTTTCCTTTCTGAGGCTTAGTTTCCTCATCTGCAAAATGGGGTAATAGTACCTATAGTACCCACCTCACGGAGTAATTGCAAGAATGTAAATAAAGTGCTATATAAATGTCAGCAGTCATTATAGAGTTACAATATGTAATTAGTTGATCTGACAATTAGTTGGTCAAGCAGGCTTTGTCTGAAGACCTCTAGTGATGGAGAATTCATTACCTCTAAAGGCAGCCCTTTTGGACAGCTTTAATTGTTCCAAAGGATAGCTAGGTGGCTCAGTAGATACAGTGCTAGGTCTGGAGTCAGAAAGACCTGAGTTCAAATCTAGCCTCAGACACTTATTAGCTGTTGTGACCCTGGGCAAGTCACTTAACCCTGTTTGCCTCAGTTTCTTCATCTGTAAAATGAGCTGGAGAAGGAAATGGCAAACCACTCCAGTATTTCTGCCAAGAAAACTCCAGATGGGATCACAGAGTCAGACACAACAGAAAAACAATTATTAGGGAGTTTTTCCTTTACATACAATGTAAATTGACCTCTCTATAATTTCCACCCATTACTCCATTTCTTGTCTTGCTTTTTGTAATCAAACAGGAAAAAAGTATCTTCATCCTCTACATGTAAGCCTTCAAATACTTGCACACCCCAAGTTTTTTCTTCTCTGGGCTAAATGTCCCTGGTTTCTTAAACTGATCCTCACCTCAAGGATTTTCACCATCCTGGTCACTCTCCTGGGTGCTCTCCAACTTATCTAGATCCTTAGAATGTGGCACCCACAACTGAACATTCTAGCTGTTGCCTGCCCCAGGACTTACTACAGTAGTACTATTACTTTCCAAGTCCTCGATACCATTTCTCCCTTAATGCAGTCTAAGATTACATAGGCTTTTTTGGCTGTTATATTGCATTGTTGACTTACTGACATTGAAATCTGCCAAAATGCCTTAATATTTTTCAGACAAGCAGCAGCTTCCCCCATCTTGTACTTGTGAAGCTTATTTTTTGAACCTAAGTTTTTATCCCAATTAAATTTCATCCCATTAAGTTCAGCCCAGCATTCTAGCCTGTTAAGAGCTTTTTGAACTCCTTTATAAGTGTTAAGAGGGATTCTTACATCTCTTTCCATAAAGAATAATATGTAAAATATTGTGGGCAGCCCATAGCTAGATATAAAATAAAGGCTCTTAGTCTATCAGTGGATTTAAACAAAAAACAACCCTTCATCTTACACTGAAACCCTGGAGCCCTCGATACTCACACTTTGTTGAGAAAGTAATTAGAACAACTCTGGCACTATGAGTGCCTTGCACTGCCTTGTAGGTGAAAAGTCCTTTTGACATATGAGGAGCTAAACCTTTTTGATATTAGATAAACCTTACTTGTGATTAATTCAGTTATATATCAGACAATTTAAAGTTCTAGTAATTTGCATATCGTTGGCCCAGAATTGTACTTTTCTAATCTGCTAGAATAAAGAACTCTAAATAGAGAAGCAAAAATCCTTCAGTAGCTCTGGTCATTTGGACAGATTTGGACAGGCACACAAATTTATGAACAGGAGGGCAATGAATTTTTCCTTCCACTAATATTTTTCCTCTGATATTATAGTTATATTTAAGGAATCATGGCTAATAATTGCTTTGTCATTGTACTACTTCAAGCCCCAGAATAAAAAGCTGTGCCTGGTGAGCTTCAGTTGCATAGTATTCAGCGTATTGTCCTTTGTGGAGATGATACTTCTGACCTTCACAATAGGACATGGACTTTGAGGAGTTATTCCTCTTATGGGGAGAGTTAGTGCATGTATTTTCATAAAGGTTACTAGATTTAGGGTATGGTCTTTGGTCAGGGAACAGAGTAAAATTAACTGATCTTTGTAGAGATCACACCCATGAGTGTGGCAGTGTGTTAGAGGGGAGAGAACCCTGAATCTGTAGGCTGAGAATTTGACTTTCAATGTTGGCTTTGCATTGGACAAATCACTTCACCACTCCTGGGCTTGATTTTGTTTTTCTGTGAAATGAGATGTTGGACTGCATTATCTCTAAGGCCTCTGCCAGCTCTAAATTTATTATCTGATCTTGGTCTCATTTGTACCATATTTTTTATCAGTGATGCTGATTGTCATGTATAATTTACCCAGGCAGCTAGGTGGTACAATGGATTGGATGTGCAATGGTACAATGGACTTGGAATCGGGAAGAACTGAGTTCTAATTCTGTCCCAGATACTTATTAGTAGTGTGACCCTGGGCAAATCACTTACCCTTTCACAGCCCCAGTTTCCTTTTCTGTAAAGTGGGAATAATAATAGCACCTACAAGTGAGTTGATTCCTACATGCCAAGCTTCTTTGTTTCTATATACTTCTGAAGGAGGTTCAAGTGTTACAATACCCTTTAAATTTTGATGTCTTGTTCACCTATGCCTCCATATATTATGGTTGTGATCCAAAGTGCTTTGTAACTCTTTCACATTCAAAATATATTAATTTTATCGTGGGAAGATTTTGAAGTCCAGCATGCTTCTTTGCAATATCAAATTAACTAAAGGAGGCAGCTAGGGGTGCAATGGACAGAGGGCTGGATCTGGAGTAAAGAAGACCTCAGTTCAAATCCTGCCCTCAAATTCTTCCTAGCTCTGGCAAGTCACCTTAACCTCTGTCTGTCTCAGTCTCCTCAGCTGAGGATGAGGAGAATGGGGATCATAACAGCACCTACCTCACAAAGCTGATAGAAGATCAAATGATATATTTTTTAAATTCTTAGCACAGTGCCTGGCACAGAGAAGGCACTTAATAAAAGCTTGTTCTCTTCCCCTCCCCAAAGATTCTTGTTTTCTCCCTCTAATGATATAATTTAAAACACATAAAGCAAAATAATCCACATTTAAACATCTAAAACTATATTTTTAGTAACCATTCAACTTCTTGTGACCTCCAACTCCATATTTTATCTTAGTAGGTCCTAGGTCACAGCAAAACAGAAATTAACTCTTCATTATTGGTTGTTTTAATAAGAAAGTTAATGTTAGCACAAAAGTCAGAATTGTTTATCTGATTTATTAATAAGATTACTTAATCTATAACCTGTGGAATTGGTCTAACTCGGCTTAAAAAAGAAAAAGAAAAACAAAAAACAAGCACAAAGCATTGTTTGACTTCCCTCAGCAGTTCTCATTGTCAAGGGGACATCCTGTTACTGCATGTTCCTTAAAACTGTTTCAGAGGTACTCTTTGCATAAAGTGCCCTAGTTATTATTGCTTGTGAAGGCGTTTTCCAAAAGGAGCCAGACAAGAGGACAGGGGCATGCATTATAAGAAAAGAAGGTTTATTTTAGATAAAAAAAATAAACATTTCTTAATTGTATCATGGCATCAAATGCAGGAATGAATGGGATACTCAGTGGAACTCTAGAGATCATTACTGTGGAATAGGCATGTTTGGTCTTGGGTTCTTAAGGTACTTAGAACTCTCTGGACCAGAGAACCCTTGAGATCCCTTTTAATTCTAAAACCTGTTGCTAGACAACTCTGAATTTTTGCCCGTGCCCCATGCCAATGTTATTTAACTTTAAATTTCTCTCATCTTCTGCACATTTTATAAAGATAAAGAGGAAGACAAAATTATTTTCTGCCAGGTCTAAAATATTTTCTCATATTTATCAGCCCTACTTTTTCATATTATAGAATCACAGAATTTCAGGGCTGCAAGAGATTCAGTGACCATCTAGTGTTCTAGTTTAATCTATAATTGAAAAATAATCCCCTCAAAGCATACCTACCAAGTCACCTTTTCCTGGAAGGTACTCCTTTGATGAGGAGGTAATTTTCTGCCAATGCCTTCCCTTCATAGATAATTCCATTAACACAACATCTAAGCCAGCTCTTACAAAGAAGCATAAAAATAAATGTACATAGATTTTGTATCAATCTTTCCTACTCCTTGGGTGGACTATGAGAAGCCAAAGTCCTTCAAATCTCTATTTTCACCCCCTTGCTACTTGCTTCAAATATATTTTGATCTCTTTGGGCAGGTGACAGTAACACTGATCTGGGTGCCTACAATCAGCTTTGTTATCTCCTAAACTGGCATAACCCTTCTTTCATGCCAATTTGGCCAGGTTTCTTTCCATCACAGCCTTTTTGTCTCACTATTGTCCAGCAAACCACCCACTGATCTCTTGGAACCCGACTGCAACTTTGTGCCTCCTACTCATGTTCTGAAAGCTGGTCCTTCCTTAAAGATAGCTAAAGTCAGAAACAAGACTCATGAAATCTCAGAGCTGAGATGGGATTAGGAGGTCAGCTACTTCAACCTGTCCCAGAAAGGAATCCCCACTATAACATGCCCAATCCTTCACCATTCTGGTTACCACCCTTGGGACATGCTCCAGTTTATCAATGTCCTTCCTAAAGTGAGGGTCATATAACACCGGTGTCCCCATTTTATTTTCCTCTTAACTAGGTACACTAGTTAGGTACACCAGTCAGGTGCATAGTAGAAAGAAACAGAGAGATATTTTTAAATGGTGGCACTTTGAACTGCTGGGAAATTCTCCTTGTGTGGAATTCTTTCTGTGAGACCCCCTTTACAGAGCCAAGCCTTGAATTTATGCAGTAACATTTCATTGCTTAGGAGTCTAAAGTATTTTCTACCATTGTTGTTGTTGTCTTTGTTGTTTAAACCTCATTCCACTCACAGTACCCCTGTAAAACAAATAATATGCTCTCTGTGAGTTTTCCTAATTTCACATTATTTCATGGTCCTATTATCAGTACACTGTGTGGCCTGGGAGAGCATGCTGGCTGCAGCTGTTCACAACACTGGAGCCTGTACCTCCCACCCTTCCGTTCAGTGTTTGGAAACCAGAATGAAGCATTTTCGTTATTCATTGTATCAGTTCAAAAGTGCAGCGTCAGGGAAACATGAGTGGTCTGACCATACAAGACTTTCTTCCCATTTTTGGCAGAAGCTCTTCAGAACAGAACTTGACCGAGAGTGCCCCTTTTCTTGAGGGCAATGTTTCATTCGAGGTTGGTTTCTTTTAAAAGCCAGAAACCATTCAAAACCAGCTTGTTTTTTTTAGAGTTCGAGAGAATGAATCCCGTCAAAAATAGAAATAGAAAAAAGCCAGAGTTTTGGATTTTGGGTAATAAACTCTAATTTGTTTCTTTGCTGTTGTTGAGGGTGTTGGACTAGAGAGCCTCCAAGATCTTTTCCTGTTCTATACTGATAATGCTCTGATGCTCATTCTCGTTGACCTTCTTTCTCCCATAGGTCTTGCTGAACCAGCAACATTTAGTTGTGAAGCTCACAATGATAAAGGGTTGACTGTATCCAAGGAAGGACAGGTTAATATAAAAGGTAAGTGGGAGAGATCCTATTACATATTTGTTTTTCTTGCTTTGCCTATTGTCTTCTGCTCCACGGGGAGGACACCCTCCTCCCTAGCCGCATTAGAAAAAAACAACCTTTATGCCTAGAGTGGGCTCTTTGAGGACTCTGCAGAATGGGCTTTGTGTTGTTTGCCAGGGCAAACCAATGCCTTGAGTAAGGGAGCAGCCAATGGTTTGCCTTGAGGTTGGGGGGAGGGGTTGGAGAAAATGAGTCAGTTACTCCCTTCTCAAACCTCCGCACTCCTTCCCTTTCCTACCTCCCCCCCCCCATCTTCCCTGGGCTAGGGTTGCATGATAGCTGAGGATGACTGGAAGTGATCTGAGCACAATAACACTAGTCTCAGGTTCCAGTCCACCTATAGATTTGTAGGGAGATAGGGCAGGGATGTAACCCTGGACCAAAGCAGCATAAACCCTAAACGTGAAAGGAAAAGAAGGTCTAAATGTCAGTAATCACTTTTCAATGAATCTCTTTACAAATCATCTGTCACTCTCACAAATGCACACTGTCATACATGTATCAGTTGTAATACCCATTAAGAGGTTTTTTTTTCCTTTGTGGTACTTTGTACGATTAGGGGGAAGTTTTTAAAAATCAATCATAGCCTATTGAACCTTTCCCTTGACAACTTTGTAATCTTAACCGAAGCAGTATAACTTGAGCATTTTCAGTTGGAAGCAGAATGTTATAGAGGTTTTTTTTTTGCACTAAACTTAGAAGAAACCCAGATTCTAATCACAACTGCTAATGAACTATCTAGCTAACTATTTAACCACACAAATATACTAACATAAATTTAACACAACGTGGAGAGATACAAAATGGTATAAAAACTCAGAGAAGGAAGAGACCATTTTGGGCTAGAGGATGGTGGGAGAATCATAAAATAATTGATATTTGAACCAAGTCATTTAAGCCTTCAGTATCCCATAATTCCCTAGTTCTATCATTCTGTGATTCTACGATAATTCAGCAAGTATTTATTGAGAGCTTATTCTTCATTTTATGCTGGCCTCTGAGGGAAACTCATGGTCCTTGCTCTCAAGCAGCTTACAGTCTAGGAGGGAGAGAAAGAGATTGATGTAAGTCAGAGCTAGTACTAGGGGTAAGCAGGTAGGTCAGGTAGCCATGCTAAAGTGTGACATGAAGTAGAATAGTGGGAGAAGGGGATAAAGAGGAAGGATACAACAAATATTCTTTCTGGCATTTTTTATGTGAAGATATTTTTAGTACCCTTAAATTCCTCTCACTTTAGCAGAAAAGTTTTTTATGATGATTAGTTGCATATATTAGTTAAGGCTCAAAATTTCAGCAGACAGGAAACACCATGGGGGATGTATTTTTCAAACCTTATCTAGGGCACACAAATACCCTAAAACAAATTTGGAGAAGTTCAAAATCCTATAAAAGCTAAGAAGAGTAAGAGGTTATTTTAGACTGATGGATGGAGTTAAGAATTATCAAGTAACTGGTATTTGAACTTGAAGGAGACATAGGATTTCATTGAAGAATGAGGGAGGGAGGGATGTTCCAGATGTGGGAACCCTGTTATCTCTAGGATCAAATACAAATTCCTTGGTTTGGAAATGTATAAAAGTGAAGGATATTCTTGGAAAAAGGGCAAGAAGTCCTGGAACAGAGCTGAGATGCAGGGAAGTAGTAGGAGATAAGATTGGAAAGTAAGTTGGTGTCAGGCTGAGGGCCTTAAATGCCAGGCTAAGGAATTTGGATTTTATTTGGCAGGCAGTGGAAAACTATTGAGAGTTTTCAACAGAGCAGTGAGGTTAACAGAGTTATGAATTAGGGAGATCGATTTGGCACCTGTGGGTAGGAAGAATCCCGATAGACAGGGATATCAGGCAGGGAGGCTATTACATTAGCAGGCAAGAAGTTAGTTGCAGTGAGAATAGAAAGAGTGATGACAGAAATAGATGACAGTGAGGAAGCTGACTAAGACTTTGAGTCTGAGTGACTGGGAGAATGGTGATGCCATTAATAGAAAAAAGGGAAGTTAGGAGGAGAAGATTTTAGAGGAAGATGAAGAGTTCAGTTTTGGACATGTTGAGTTCGAGGTGCTGTTAATATATTGAGGTAGATATGTCTAGGGGGTAGAAATGTGGGTCTGCAGCTCAGGATGATGATCAAGGATGAATATAGATTTAGGAGTCATCCTTCTAGAGATAATCCTTGAGACTGTGATAGTAGATGAGATAGCCATGGGAGAGGCTGTGGAGAAAAGAGAGGAAAGGGCATCCCTCCCTGGGAAATGCCTCCACTTAGGAGGCAGAAGGAAGAAGTAGAGCCATCTGGTCACTAAGTGTGCTGTGTGTTAGAACCCAAGTCTCATAAGATCCATTAACTTAAGCAGGTTTCTCTGTAGCATCAATGGGCTATCAAGTTTTCAGTATGGTTCGAACTGTGGCTTAATCTGTGTGAACCTCCTCCAAAGTCATACTCCAGGGCATCAGGGTGGCTTCATCACAAAAGATGTCTATTGCTTCTTTCAGGGGTCAACAGTTTGGTGCATAAAAGGAGTAGAAAAAAATTAAAATTGTTATAGAAAACCTTTGTGTAAAGAAATATAGGTTTCAAGTAGACTGTGAGTAGTTTGGGACATAAAATGAACTATGTCATAAACATAGAGGATTAAATCACCTTATAAAGGATGTAGAGCAGAGATATCAAAGATGTAGCTCCCCTTCCCCCAACACTCCAAAGTGCAACTTAAACCAGATTAAAATGTAATTGAGAAATATTTAACAAGATAAATTAAAAAACAATAAAACATAGATAATGTTCAATGGTGGTTTTCTAGGTCAATATATAGCCCATGGGGATCCACCTGGATTTTGAGTTTGACACTACTGGTATAGAGTTATGTTTCTTTTGAAGGTGAACAGTTTGATGGTTTAAAAGGGGGTAGAGAAAGAACTTTTATTTAAAACTGCTAAAATTCAAGTATAAAGAAATGCAGTTGTCAGGAGCACAGACTATTAAATTGGACCTTTTTAGTTGGAGCTACAGGATATTGTGGTCACTCAGCTCATTGGCATGTAACTTTTTAAGGACTAAGAAGGTAAAGCTCACAAAATGAAAAATCAAATAACTGGTTGGAGTCAATGAGATGATTAAATATAAACCATTAATTGTTAGGGAAGAGTTTGTGAATTTTTACCTCATAAGTGAAAAATGAGTCTATGAGTACCAGGAAGCTCTAATCTCAGTTGCTCAAAGTAGTGGATAAAGATTAAAGACCCTGGTGAGTAAATATTGAATGCATTTCAAGAGATTATTAAAAAGGCAGCAGCTATGTGAAGAAAGTGGAAGGTGGAGTAGTCAGCTGAAAGGTGTTAGCAATGAGCTTCCATATTGGTGGGATAGTTTCCAGCTCATTAGACAAAAGCTTCAGCATCAGCCCTATGGAAGTATGAGAGGTGAAGTATCTCAGAAATGCATATTGTTTTGTTGTCTGCTACCACCTTTGGTTTGAGAGGAAAAAGTAGAGTAGATAAGACAAGTTTTGCAGCTGTTTTGCTGATAGCTCTGTTTCTCCAAGCTGATTGGTCGTAATGGCATTCTGGTATGTGAAGAATTAGCTGATCTTTTCTGTTTTACTCAGAGTTCCAATCCAGTATCTTTACTGTGAGTAATGTTTGCTACTAGCCTATTGGATGATGCAGAATAGATGAGTGAATAGTTGTCTGGGATTATCTTCATTGCTCAAGGAGATCCAGACTAATGAACTTTGCTGTTTTCTACCTTAAAGGAAATTGCTATCTAAATTAAGAATGTAAAGCTTTCTCAGCTCTCTTTAAAGAGTTATTGTGAGTTGCAAAAGCTTTTAAATGCTTTGTTCAATTTTAGAGCAGGTTGCCCAGTTGGAGAGTAGTAAGGAATAGAAGGGGGGAAGCATTTAGCAACCTGCTGTGGTATAGATTTTCTTGAATGTTTCAATGACATCAAGGCCTGAAGTTCTGTTTTTAGTTACCTCAAGCACATAAGTTCCTCATGTAATCCTTTTCCAGGTTTCTGTAAGTGTATATCCATTCTCCTCCACAGATACTAAGTTGGTGGGAGAGTGTAACCCAAGTTCATGTGTGGACTGTGATATATTTATTACTACTGCATTTGCTTTATTTGAGTGCCTGTTATGGTTATTATTATTATTTTCACCTTATTTTTAAATAAATGGTTAGGTGTAAGATCTAATGTGTCATCATTGCGAGTGTAAATGAAAGCATGCTGGTGAGAATTCAAGAACTGTAGAGGTGAGGAGGGGGAATGTATCCCCCAAAATAAGATCACTTTTTAGGACTCTGAGAAAATGTGGGTGTAGTCCTATGGTTGTGGTTCTTCTCTGGGAACTCATGCTTTGTCAGTGTGAGGATATGTTGGTACGGGCAAGTAAACCTAGAGAATAAATAGGTGTCTAAACTGATGTGAAGCGCTACTCTCTTCGTGGTTACTCACATATACCCTAAATAAGGTTATGCAAAATAAATGCAAGTTAATTTTTTTGAGGGGGAGGCATTAGTATCAGAGGGGGTCAGAAGAAGATTCATGTAGAAGAAGGTACTTAAGCTAAGTTTTTTAGGAAACTAGGGATTTAAAGAGGTACAAGTGAGGAGGATTGCATTACAGGCACGCTGGACAACATGTGCAAAGTCACAGACATGGAGATGCAGTATAACAACAATGATAATAATAGCGGCTAGTATGACCATAGCTCCTTAAGGTTTACAAAGTGCTTTACAATTTATCCTCACCAATACTAGGAGTGCTATTTGTTGTTGTTCGGTTGTTTCAGTCATGTCTAACTTTTTGTGACCCCATTTGGGGTTTTCTTGGCCAAGATACTGGAGTGACTTGTTTGCCATTCCTTCTCCAGCTCATTTTTACAGATGAGGAAACTGAGGCAAACAGGGTTAAGTGACTTGCCCAGGGTCACATAGCTAGTAAGTGTCTGAGACTGGATTTGAACTTAGGTCTTCCTGACTCTAGATCCAGAGCTCTATCCACTGCACATCTGGCTGAGTATCAGATATGAGATGCAGCAGGAAAGTTTGGCAGGATCTTACAATGCGTAAAGGGGAGTTTGTGATAATAAATAAACCAGAAAAGGTAGATTGGCACAAGAAAACTGGAGTTCTGGAGAAGTGAAACATCTTATTCGAGGTAAGATACATAAGATACCTTATAATTTAATTAAACGATTATCTTTTATTATTTTGTTTACTATATTAAAAGTAAATGTTTATTATCCTTTAAGTTAATATAATTTATCTTTAGATGATGTTTAAGAAAAATCAGGAATAATTTATCATTCTACTGGTAAGGATACTCTAATACTTTTAGTTTCAACAAACCAGTGAAATCTAGGTTTCTAAAGGGCTCTTTCGGAAGGTTCATTTGATGTGAAAGGATCAAACTGAAAGTTCACGGCAGAAGGACTATATGACTTCCTTCCTTCCTTCGTTTCATGTCCCATTATTATAACTTCCTTGAGAAATGATGGGAATTCCAAGAATCCATGAGTGAGAGTGACTCCATGGCGGGGTGGGGAGAGGGAGGGGGAAGATATAAAGATATAAAACAATATTCAAATGCTCTAGATTTTTAAAAAATCTGCAGTAAGTAGCATTTGTAAGGAAATCATGGACATTCTTTAGTTGGTGCTTAGGGCAGACCCTGCAGCTGTGAATTTATATAAATTCTATCCTAATTAGATGATTTGAAAAAGATTTTTCCATTAGTATCTTTTAAAATCTTTCCTCAGGTAGCCCCTTTATTCAGAGCCAAGTATACTATTATATATTTGGTGCACCTTCAGCTATGAAGGCCAATAACTGTTCAAGTACTCCAAAGCTGAATGATTTAGGGTAGCTTTGCAAATAATCTATCACTCAGTTGTTTAGGGTAAATTCTAATTCACGTTGTGTTAGTCGAACATAATGTTGATTTTACCTATATACCAAACTCTGTGCTTTTCAAATGCAGGGGCTTAAGGACTGATTCATTTTTGTGGGTGGTTGTTTATAAGGCTCTAAATAGAGCCCTTCGAGTAACCTTTGCAATTTGAAGTCAAATGTGGGTTTGAGGCCCAGGTCTGATACTTACTTAACTGTATAATCTGCAAGTGTTGCAGCCTCCTTAGGTCTGTTTCCTTATCTGTAAAATGCCTCACAGATTTTTGAGGAACATGCTTTGTAAGCATTAAGGCACTATATAAATGTGAGTTTTTATTATTCGCTTAGTCCAGCAATAAAAGTTCTAAAAACAAACAGTTTTGTCTTCTTACCAGGCATACCTGGAAGACTTTAAGGGTTGTGATTATAGAAAAGCTGAAAAGGGATAAAATTTTTCTGGGGAACCTTAGCTCTATTTAAGTGGTGTGATAGAAAGATTGGTAGATATAGTCAGAGAAACTACACTTGAATCTTGTTCATTTACTACTTTTGTGACACAGACTTCTGGGTTTCAGATTTCTTGTCTGCAAAATGATGCAATTGAAGAAGGTGAATTCTAAGGTCCCTTTGAGTTCTAAATCTTTAATCATAATAATGACTAGCTTTCTCTTTCTCTCTCTCTCTCTCTCATTCTCTTTTCCTCCTCCTCTTTCTTCTTCCTCTTCTTTCTCTTTCATTTTTCTCTCTTCCTCCTTCTTCTTCCTCTTCCTCTTCTCCCTCTCCCTCTCTCTCTTTCATTCTTTCTCTTTTCCTCCTCCTTTCTTTTTCTTCTTCCTCTCTCTCTTTTTCATTCTTTCTCTCTTCCTTCTCTTCCTGTTCTTCCTCCTCCTTTACTTCTTCTTCTTCTTCTTCTTTTTCTTCTTCTTCTTCTTCTTCTTCTTCTTCTTCTTCTTCTTCTTCTTTTCTCTCTCTCTCTCTCCCACGTTTTCATTTTTTCCATTGATGCCAGAATCTTCATTCAGCTTTGGGAAAAAAATTCCAGATCTTGAAACTTTATTGATATTTAGAGAATATAAGTACATTCAATTCAGATAAGGTTGACAACTATTCATACATGCCTATCCACAGGTAGATCTACATGTTTAGACCCATTTCTACATCAGGTAAAATTCTTGTACTGTTGAAAGGGGCTGGGATTCATTAGTCTGTCATTTGTGTTTCAGGTCGTTTTTGAGAGCAAATAACCAGCTTACAGATCCACCTTAAATTTTATTAAGAATGCTATGCATGCCTATTCCTCTGCCTCTAGGCACTATTTCTTTGTAGCTGGAAATTTTTATTGGGTTTATGGTAGTTGTGTTTGTTCTTCATTCTTGAAGAGGACCGTGACATCATGGAGGTGATGACATGACTTGCAATTGACTTTGATTTGAGTGAGGGAGGGCTGTGCAAGGTCACCAGCCTCACTTTCTCCTCCAGAGCCATCTGGCTCCAGTGGCCAGATATTCATCAGGATGACTGGAGATGGTTCAGGATGCAATGGGAGACCCTGGTCCTTTTTGGTCTATCAGTGAGGTTGTTAGTTTTTGGAGAGTGAGAGACTTATCACATATATCTTTGCATCTCTTGTGACCAATATGATGCCTGCACATAGAAAGTAGGTAATGAATATTTTGAATTAAACATTCCTTTTCCAAAGTGTGAATTATTATTTTTCTCCCTGTAAGAAGCACCAGGAGACTTGACAATGACCATGTCAAACCACTATTTGACACATTTTTGAAAAATGCATTTTATTGATGTGATTTGCCTTTTAATCAGCGAGATTATACCCTCTTATAAGACAAAAACTGTGTAAAAATATATGATAGAGCTATCTTTATCTGACTGTATATATGATATTTTTTCCTAGTAATTCCCTACCTCTCTGAAGACTCTCATGCTTTTGAAGGACTTGATATTTAATTATTGTCATTGAGGTATTTTCTGATTTTTATCTTTTCCCTTAGCCATTCCTTCTGCACCAAGTAAAGTCAGCATCAAGAACAGGACTGCACATACCCTTCTGATCTCATGGGTGCCAGGCTTTGATGGGTATTCTCCCTTCATCAACTGCAGTATTCACGTAAGCATTAACCATCCATACTTTGGAAGTCTAGACTTTTTTCTCTCTTAGAAAGGCCATTTGTGATTTATTACCATTCTTATAAATAATATCTCATTAAGTATCTATTAATACATCTCCTTAAGGTTTCAATTCCTATTGTTCAGTCATTTTTACAGTTGTGCCTAACTCTCTGTTACCCCCATTTCGGGTCTTCTTGGCAAAGATAGTGGAGTGGTTTGCCATTTGCTTCCCCAGCTCATTTCACAGATGAGGAAAATCGAGGTAAAAAGGGTTAAGTGATTTGCCCAGGGTCACACAGCTAGTAAGTGTCTGAGGCCGGATTTGAACTTAGTTATTCCTGACTCCAGACCCAGCACTATATCCACTGTGCCACCTAACTGCCTCTTAAAGTTTGTATACTTTATATACGTTATCTCATTTGATCTCACAACAACCATTATTAGCTCCATCTTACAGATGAAGAAATTAAGGCTCAAAGAGGTTAAATGACTTGCCTAGGATAGTATTGTTAGTAAGTATTTGAAGCAATATTTGAACCCAGCCTTCCTGATGACAGATACGGAACTCTATCTATTATTCCATGTTGCCTCCTGGCTCTTCACCTCGAGAAAATATCTGTCTTTTAATATAAACCAACATTAACCATTTAGCTGATTCAGTGGTCTCCCTTTGGACACACCTTCCACTTGAGGGGAGCCTTTCTCTATTTTCATCTAGGTGGTATGAAGATCTTATTTACATAATGATCCTCAGATTGATGAAAACAAATTGAAATGTCTTCCTTCAGTTTCCTAGGCAAGACTAACCATGTAATCTGACATTAGTACCATGGTTTCCATTGAGTTCAATGGGTGTCAGTGTCCTGGTGTTGCATTCCTGATGCCAAATGGAATTTGTTTCTCTTTGTAGTTTCTTCTAATTTTTTTCCAGCAGCTGTTTCAAATTGTTTTTGTTTGGCGGGGTAACAAAATGGTAGCATTTGTTAAGATATGTCAACTTCTAATCTAGTCCAATCCAACAAACATTTAAGTACTCACTATGTGCAAAACATTGTGTCTAGGTGCTAGGGGTACAAAGACAAAATAAAAAACACCCTTTGTCCTTGAGAAACTTATATATCTACTGGACAGGAATATATATTAATATCTATACATATATGTATATGTTAATGTGGGATCTGAGAATATCTATATATTTATGGAATAGTTTTGGGAGAAAACTTGAATCCTAACAACTAAGAGGATCTAAAAGGGCTTTCTATAAAGGTGGCAAAGACTTTAGCTTTGAAGGAAGCTAGCATTCTAAAAGGTAAAGAGGGAGGGCATACTAGGCTTGGGAAATAGCCCATACAAAGAGTTGGGAGTTGGAGTACAAAGTTTTGGTAACAGCAAATAGGACATTTTGGCTGAAATATAGAGTGCATGAAGGGGAGTAATATGAAATAAGCCTGGAAAGGTAGGCTGGAGCCATTTAACTTTTACTAACTCTTGGAATATTTAATTTTTAAACCTATTAAAATTGTCAAATGGTAGGAATTTACATTGCACAGACTTCCTACATTGTACATTTCTTCCTAGCTTTACCTTATATTTATGTTGGACCTTTCTCCAGGGAGCGGGAAGTACTATTTATGCTTTAATAAAATGATATCGTCATACATACTAGTGAAATGGGGAAAAGTTCAATTCCACACTTTATAAATGAATAAATTTCTTCTAAAAAAATAAACCACCAATTATTTGGAACTCACTAGCATACCTCATAATAAGAATCTAAGTCTTTTTGACAGTAAGGGCTGAGTATTTTTCAGAAATGAAGGACTAGGTTTCTAATCCCTATTATTCTAACCTGGCTAAGGTGAGTGGATAAGTGGGTGCAGAGATAAAAGGAAAGGAGTCAAATGCACTAAAAGAATTAAAGTTCTGTTGTGAGGGAGGTAATTCGCAAAGTAGGAACTTTGTGTGTAGCTGTGTTGTAGTAGAAGACTGGATTTGGAATTAGGAAGATCTGGGTGCAAATTCTGCCTCTGACAATAGCTTGTGTGATCAAGTTGCAAGTCATTTAACTTCTCTGAATCTCAGTTTTCTCATCTGTAAAATAAAGATAGTCACACCTATAGTACCTACCTCACATGAGGGTCAGATGATATGTATGTAAAGTACTTTTTTTTGTGTGAGGCAGTTGGGGTTAAGTGACTTGCCCAAGGTCACACAGCTAGTGAATGTTATGTGTCTGAGGCTGGATTTGAACTCAGGTCCTCCTGACTCCAAGGCTGGAGCTCTATCCACTGCGCCCCACCTAGCTGCCCCTGTAAAGTACTTTTCAAATTATAACGTCGTACATAAATGTCAGTTATGGTTGTGCATATTATTATGGGAGAATAATACTTGGTAGGAGAGGGAAGAGGATTTTAATAATTGGAGGGCACTGGCCCTGGGAGGGAGAAGCAGAGAGATCTCCAAAAACAAATGTCACTTACCTTGTAGTTTTGCTTGCAGCATGAGAATGATGCCAACCACACCCCTCAAAATTATCCTTAGAATCTAATGCTATGTAGTGCTAAATTAGATCCTGCATAGCCTCATGAGTCCGTGATGCCCCCACCATCCACTCTGACCACCTCTTCTGTATCCCTTCTTTTCTGCTTAAAGGTTAAATTGAGTTGGCTTCATTGGACCTACCATATTCTCATGCTATATTATAATAGCGTATTCTTATTCTCAGAGAAACCACAGATGGTTTTGAGGGGTTTGACCAATTCATTACACTTTCAGATTGTGATCTGTTAACAAATGAATGTTTTGGATGAGATTCAAATAAAAACACTAGCAAGACACACCCTTGCGTTTCCCTTTGCCTGGCATATGAAAGATATAGTAGTGCTTGGGCCACATCTTTCATTTCTGTTTTTTAATTGCCCCACAAAGCTTTTGAAATTTCCTATCTTCTCTTTCCCTGGCATGTTATCCAGATGAGACTTATAGAATCCTTATAATTCCATATTATGTTTTCCAGAATCCCTCCCTTTGCCTAAAAATGTGTGTCTGAAAAAGCAGCTCAGGAAATGAGGGTGGGAGGTGGAGGGACAAAGAAGTTTCCTTTGATTTAGTTTTTGATGCTTGGTCACCAGGAAGTAGATACAACCTTTAAAGCCCCAAAACAAAATGTAATTCCTGGCAAGTACCAGGAATCCCCGTGGGATAAACACACATTACTTCTTATGCCTCCTTCCAAAGGCTTGTCAGTATGAACTGATGAAGTTCTGGCACTTTGTATAATCTGATGTGAGCATGAGTCATAGGGTGAAACCCAAAGCTTATAAACACTACAAGCCATGAGAGGTGACTTTACTCTTTCCTCTCCTGAAAGGCCCAGCTCTGATTGTTTTTTCCCTTGGAATTCCAAAAATGTGTATTCACAGTAGTTTGGCCTGGATTTAGATATTCTAAAGTAAGAATAAGATTTAGATATTCTGCAGTTAAGAATAATGATATTTTGCGCTCTATACAGGATTACAATGACATGACTAAGAGGAATAAGTTACGTGACTTTAAAATCCCCCTGGATTGTTATGGCATATTGTTACCACGTAGAAGCTGGGATAGTTGGACATACTGCAGAGTAGGTTCCATCAAGAACCTTTGACATTTGAGAGCACGAGTCCATCAGTAGCAAATTTGGATATGAACTCCAATGGAATATTTTGTTCAGGGAAGAGTCTTAGAGCAAGATGATTGGGGCTTTGCCCCAGGGTATAGAATTTAGAGGGCATTGACAGCAATTATGGTCTGTTGATCATAGAAACAATAGAACACAACTCCTCCTTAGCAAGAATAATTAAGTGAAATAGGAAGCCATCATATGGTACATTGGGATGAGTGTCACCCCTTCCTTATCCAGCTCCCTTTCATGTGATGGCCTTCTTAGCTACATGTGTCTGTCTCCTTGCAATAGGGTGGTGTGTCCCCTTATCCTCAAAAAATGTCCTACTTTATGCAACCTATTCCTGGCATATAAATTCCTAGCTATAGCTGTGATTTAGGGGGTTACTCTGGAAAGGAACAGGGAAATAGAAGAATTGTGGAGTGAGAAAAGAATACTGGATTTGAATTCAAGGGCCTGGATCCAGGGCCTGATTAATAACTAACATTTATATAGCATTTGCTCTGTGCCAGGCACTGTGCCAAGCACTTTACAATCATTATCTCATTATCTCATACAATCGTTAATAGCACCTATTAATATCCTCATTTTACAGATGAGGAAACTGAGCCAAACAGAGTTAAGTGACTTACTCAGGGTCACACAGCTAGTAAGTATCTGAGGCTAGATTTGAACTCAGCTCTTCCTGATTCCAGACCTAGCACTCTATCCACTTCACCACCTAGCTGCCCAATTGTAGTTATTTGCTACTTATGCGACATTGGTCAAGGCACTTATTTCTCCGAGCGTTGTGATCTTATCTCTGAAATGAGAGGATTGAACTAGATGACATCTAAATTTCCTTTCATTTATTATTCAAAATGTTCTTCCATGTCTGCAAGGCATTTTTGGTGTTTTTCAGGAATCCAGTACTATTTTCTTTTAACCACAGATAAATTAAGACAAAAATATGAATTTATGACAACACTGTTATTTAGGAAGTAGTAAGTAACATTGCTTCCCTGTCAGAAAAGAAATAATTTATTTTAATTAGGTAATTAGGTAAGCATTTATTAAGTTCTCATTGTGTGCTAGGCATTGTTCTAGGTGCTGAGGATTTGGAGACAAAAACAAGACCAGGGGTGGGGAACCCCTGGCCTCAAAGCCACATGAGGCCTTCTAGGTCCTTGGGTGTGGACTTTTGACTGAGTCCAAGTTTTACAGAACAGATCCTTTCATAAATGGGATTTGTTCCATGAAGTTTGGATTCAGTCAAAGGACTGAGGGACCTAGAAGGCCTAGAGGGCCACATGTGGCCTCGAGGCCACAGGTTCCCTTCCCCTGAACAAGACAGTCCCTGTTCTTAAAGAACTTAGAGTTTATGTGAGGTGGGCATGGGAAACAGATTACAACATAAGCACATTTAAGAAAATGAGAAAGATATACAAAATAAATGCAGAGTAATTGGAGGGGGCACTAACGACTGGGGAAACCAGAAAAGGTCACTGGTAGGAGATGGTCCTTAAACTGAGTCTTGAAGGTGGAACTCACAGGTTGTGTGTTGTGTTGTGGGTGTTGTGTGGGTTTTCCTTCGTTCTCGAAGAGGACCATGACATCAGGGAGATGATGACATGACTTGCAGTTGACTTTGATTTGAGTGAGGGAGGGCTGTGCAAGGTCACCAGCCTCATTTTCTCCTCCAGCATCCCTAGAGGTGAATATGAGGAAGGAGCACATTCTAGGCATGAGGGCTAGACGCAGAGACAGGTTAACAGGAAGTAGGATGGTTTGGCTGGCACGTAACTACATGAAGGAGCCAAATTACAAAGGGTAAAGTCTTTTGAAGAATGCCAAATGGATGAGTTTGTATTTTATCTTAGAAAGCAGTAGGGAGACACTGATTCCTCTTTATTAAGTATCATTTATATCAAATTGTAGAGAAGTTCATCAAAGACAAAACAGCTTACCTTAGGTCACTAACTGGGTCATTTGGAAAGGTGGAGGGGAAGTTAGTACTCATGCCCAGTTTTTGGTATTGGTTCTGGGATTATTGAAATTAGTCTTTAGTGGATTAAATTTTTTACTATTCATTTTTTTAAAAGTATTAATGTCTTATTGATGACTTTTTTGCTCTATCATTATTTTGCATTATAGTATAGCTTTCCCCACTTTTACTGAACCATCTTTTGTAACAAAGAAAAAGAGGTAAAATCTAACCAATACATTTATTGTGTCTGACTGCATTAGCAACACTTCTCACACATTGTCTCCCTCCCTAGCTGAGAGCTGGGAAGTGTGCTTCATCATCTCATTTCCTGGACCAGTAATGGTCATAGGATCATAGGATCGTAGCTTTAGAGCGCTAAGGACCATAGAGGCAATTAAGCACAAACCCTTTATTTTATAGATAAGGAAACTGACGTGCAGAGAGGAGAGATGACTTGTGGGTCCTAATATCTGGGGCAGAATTTGAACCCACATGTTCCTACTTCCAAGTCCTACATCTAATATATTATAGTTAATCTGAATTTAGCTATTTTATTGTTTTCTTTTTTAATTAACATTTTTATTTTATTCTAAACTTAACAAACACCAAATAAAATAGATGTTTCAATATACATAGTATAAACAAAGAAGAGGATTGTCTTGAAACTGAATATTTATATGATGTGCTACTTACTTTTTCTTTTAACTGTATAATAAATTCAACATGTAACATTCAAAACTTTCCTCTTTGTTTTTTTGTTTTTGTTGTTGTTGTTGTTGTTGTTTTGTTTTGTTTTTCTGGCCTTTCAGGTCTCTTTGGTGCATTTTTTTTAAAAAAAAGGTGCTTCGATGACCCCCTTTTCTTTCCTTCTTTCTTTCTTTTTACTACCCTATCCCTGACTTCCCTCATCTTCCAAGACCCCTCTGCACCCCCAATGGAAAACAAAAATAAAAACGAAGCCCTTGTAACATATGCATAGTCAAGAAAACTAATTCCTATGTTGGCTATGTCCAAAAATGTATCTTTTATTCCGCATCTTGGGTCCATCTTCTCTCTCAGTAGGTAGGTAGAATGCATCAACCTCAGTCCTCTGGAATCCTGGTTGGTCATTTGCAATGATAAGAATTTTTAAGTTTTTCAGAATTTTTTTCTTTATGATGTTGTTAATGTACAAATTAGGAGGCAGCTAGGTGGCTCAGTGGATAGAGCACTGGGCCTAGAGTTAGGAAGATCTTAGTTCAAATCTGGCCTCAGATGCTTACTAGCTGTGTGACCCTGAACATGTCAATTAGCTTCTGCTTGCCTTATTGCACTAGAGAAGGAAATGGTAAACTACTCCTGCATCTTTGCCAAGAAAACCCCATGGAAAATATCTCCATGGGGTCACAAAGAGTCAGACATGACTGAATAATCGAACAACCACAATGCAAATTGTTTTCCTGATTCTGTTTAGTTCTTTCTGCATCACTTTATACGGGTCTTCTCAGTTTCCTCTGAAACTGTCCATTTCATCGTTTCTTATGGTACAATATTCTATCATATTTATATAATTTCATAATTTCTTTAGCCATTCCCCAATAAGACAGCCCTTTAATTTCCAACTTTTAGCTATTACAAAAAGAGCTACAATAAATATTTTTGACATATAAGTCCTTTACTTCTTTAATTGATCTCTTTAGTATATAGTCCTAGTAGGAATATTGCTGAGTCAAATGTGTTTATATATATATATATATGTATATATACATATATCTTATTAATTTATATACATGATTATATATTATGTATAATATTAATAATTATACATGGACTAATTTTATATGTTAATATTCTTATTAATTTACATATATGTATAAAACCTCCCTATCCCACTTTGACTTCAGTCCTATGACATCCATAGCTGCCCCAATCAAAAAAAAAAAATCCATGCTCTCATTTTATTGATAATTAGTATGACTTCGAAAGAGCACCAAGAGTTAAAATGCTTGGAAGCAGGTGACCTTGAACATATTGTTTGACCTTTCTTAACTTCAATTTCCTCACCTGTGAAGCAGGGATAATAATTCCTTTCCTGTCTCCCTTAGAGAATATCCTCTATCAATACAGATCTTCAAATTCCAATCCTTATAGAGTGACTTGTCCAGGCATACAGCCAGTATGTGTCAAAGGAAGGACTTGAATACAGACCTTCCTTAATCGAAGGCCAGCTGACTCTTTATCCACAACACGTGGTATTGGGGCAGCTAGGTGGTGCAGTGGATAAAGCACCGGCCCTGGAGTCAGGAGGACCTGAGTTCAAATCCGGCCTCAGACCAAACACTTGACACGTACTAGCTGTGTGACCCTGGGCAAGTCACTTAACCCCAACTGCCTTAAAAAACAAAACACAATGTGTGGTATTGCCTCTTCTTCATCGACATACTTCTATCCCTCTTACTTTTTTTGGGCTCATTCATTCTTTTAGCAGTTCATTATCCCTCACAGTCTGCCAACAAGTAACAACATCTGTGCACATAATGGGACCCTATTACTTACACACAGAAAATACTCTCTTAAGTACTCATAGATCTGTGTTCTCATAGATTTGGGAGTTCCCTCCATCAATGCAAATTTCAACCCATCAATTCCTGCCCATCCTGTGCAAGTCTTGTTTGTATTCTCTCAAAAGTTCAATACAGAGGTACTGTGTAAAACAAACAAATGAGAAACAACACCAAACCCTATTGAATGTGAGGGTCATGTCTGTCAACATAGAAGAGTAGTAAAATAATAAAAGCATGAATTAGAAGAGAGGAAAATAACCCACTCATTTTTCCATGTATCACAACTGTCATTTAAACTGCCTTCCTTTCCCTGTAATCTACCGCCGTCAGGGCACAGGGAAAGCATTTCCCTTCTACATATCAGGCAGATTCAGCCAGTATGAGTGACTCACGTTTGTAGAGGTAAGCTGCGTGTCCTAAAGGAATACAGGTGCCTCATGACAGAGGAGAGGAAGGGAAATATGTGCCAATTCTATTAACATAGCTCATCAAAGATAAAATTCCAGATAACTTGCTAATGTTAGTCCAAATTTTTGTTTTTCATTTAGGTCAAGGAAGTCAGTCCATTGACTAATGCATCAGTCATGATCTTTAATACCTCTGCGTCACCTCATCTGTATCAAATTCAGCAGCTGCAAGCTTTGGCTAATTATAACATTGGTGTTTCCTGCATGAATGAAGTAGGCTGGTCTCAAGTGAGCTCTTGGATTCTGGCCAGTACAACTGAAGGAGGTAATTAACAATAGACATAAAGAAAATAGCCTAGCTGACAGTTATATAGAATAGCATTGATAACAATTCAATCTGAAAGTAAACCTTCGCTTTCATCTTTACTTTTGGAGGTGTGGAGACGGGATGGAGGATACTTACCTCCTATATTCACTAGGCTTTAGGGTTTGGGGCTTTTTGCACAATAGTATTTTCTGTGTGTAAGTTGTAATCCTTGTACAAAGATTTCATTATTGATGCACCATGGGTCAGGCATGCACTTTTGATTTGATTTTCTGTGAATGGGGATGGATTTATGCTGACTGCCACATTATCTCACTTCAACCCCATTATGAACAGTGGCATGCATTTTTAAAACAGCTAGCTGGGAAAAGAGTTTATAATGTGTGGCCATGGGCCTTTTTTTTTTCCTCTTGGTCTGATCTTATGATTTCATCAGGATGGAAGATTCCCTATGTTGAAAGAAACTTTCCCCAGTTATGCAGCTCCGCAACTGGTCTATACCTTAAAGTTGCTTGCTATTTGCAGGTCTGATGCATTTAGCATTTCTCCATCATAAGGGAATTGCTTTGTCACTGAAAGAGCATAACATTTTTTCTCAGCACCTTGTTAATAATGGCTTTGAGTAAAAAAAGTTTGACACTGCTTTATTAGTGCAAGACAAGAAGTGGTGAGGACCAGAAGAGAATCAGCTAGGAGAGAATCGGCTTCATGTCATACAGATTGTTTTTTAAATGACCAATGGCATTAAGGTCTAAAGTCCAGACTTCTGACTTGCCCTAGGCATATAGGTTTCCCCATGCATGGGACTCTTTGCTAGGTTTCTGTAAGTTTGTGCTCATTCTTCCCCATAGACACTACATGTGTTGGTAGGAGAGCATGACCCAATAATGTTTTCATTTTTACTTCTTTTATCTTCCACTTAGTAACTATGATATTAAATTATTTCTGCTTTAAGTAAGTAGGTATTATGATTATTCTTGATTTTATCATATCATTAAACAAATATTTTATGTTTAAGAAGTGCTGGTTAAGCAAATGTTTTTTTTATGTCTAAGAGGAAATAATATCATTGTTATCAATTTTGTGTAAATGAGAAGCATGTTAGTAGGTGCTCCAGATAAAATGGTGGGTAGTAGGAGTGCATCCCCTCCATCCCTAAGCTAACCCAAAACCTTGGGAGACAGTTTGAATTCTAGCAGAAGTGATTATGAACTTTCCTGGGAACATTAGATCTGCTAGTTTGAGGGGAGATTGGGAATAGTGCAAAGTAAGAATAGAGGTCCAGGGTGCCCAGTTTACAGTACTAACAACTAGTGGGAATCAGAAAAGGTATCTCATAAAAGGTGGCATCAGATGTTTATTTTAGTTGTGAATCTAGTAGATTTTTTAAATGATGATTTAAACTTGTGAAAGTATGAGAAGGCTATATAATTGCTGTTGAGAAAGAACATGTTGAGAGGCTTCTAATCTCATAGTATTTGAGTCTTTTGTCATTGTTGCATATTTCTAGAATTTACTGTCAGATTAGGGAGAGTTTAAATAGTATTGGGATTTGGTATCACCCAGAAATGTCATCTTTTGGTGATAGGGAATTTGTTCGCTTTGGAGTAATATCTCCTGCTTTCTCTCAATTGCTGTAGCCTATGGAATAAGTTGAGATGGTGGTGAAAACCATCTTCTATTTTTCAATAAATTACATAAGATAGTGGAATTGGTAGAAGCTGATAAAGAAATGTTATTGGTCTGTCATGTTGGGGCTTCACAACTATAGATTAGTCCAAGAAAGGTTTAGGGTACCTTAAGGGTCAATGTAAAGAATCTGCTTTTATACCACACTCTTAAAAATTATTGTTACATAGAATAGGCTCTTTACAAATGTTTGTTGAATTGACTGAATCATGGAAGAATCTTGTAAGAATTTTGTTTTGAACTCAGCAGCAGGTTATTGGGCAAACCATCCCTGAATTGTTCTCAAATCCAAACATGAACTTTTAAAACTATTTATATTTTGGAAAATACTGTAGGAAAGTCCACAAACACACAAAATAATAACAACTAAGCAGGAAGCCAAATGGGGATAAGTCAGGAATCTAGTTACACAATGCAACCAGGAGATAATGGCCGTTGTCCATGCCTCCTTTTCAAGAAGGGAGTATGTATATTTGAGATTCTTTTCAAGAAGTTGCCGTATGTCCTATCCTGATTCCTAATCTGTGGGCCATATTCTGTTTAGCTCTGGTCTCTAAGATCCATCTCTGCCCACATGGCGGATTGCCATGGACTCTTGTATAGAGTTGGAAAGTGGCTGGATGAAATTGCTTTGGCTGGAACATAGAGTGTCTGGGTGTGGGATGGGACATGAAATAAGGTCAGAAAGCTAGATAGAAGCCAAATTATGAAGGGTATTAAATGCCAGGATAAAGAGTTTGCCTTTTATCCCAGATGCACTAGAGAGCCATTGAAAGTTTTAGGGTAGAGGATTGGCAATAGGAGTTGGAACTTGAAGAGCCTTTGGAGAATATCTAGTCCAAATCCTGAATTTCATATCTGAGGAAACTGAAGTTGTTATTTGTACCAAAATCACATAGCAAATGGTTTATTTTGTTGATGGGAGGAGGTGCTGATCTGTTGTTATTTCATTGATGCGGGGAATTCTCAGTTCCTCACCAAGTGACCATTCATCTATGATCTATAATCTCCAAAAGTTCCCAAGGAACCAAAAGGTTAAGTGTCTGGCACATGGTCATTCAGTATATGTCAGAGGCAGGGCTTGAGCCCAGGTCTTCCTGGTTCCTAGGCCAGTCCCTTTCCACTATACCATGCTGCCTTGCACAGAGCAAGTTATTCCAACTCAATCTCTTGCTCTCTCTCCTTATAATGTTCTGTAACCAATTTCCCAGAGTCAGTTTATGAAAACCTTGAGTTTTTCATTGGTATTTTTTTAGTACATTTTGAATATAAGAACATAACAATCCTTATTTCTAATACAGAAATGTGTTAGATTGGAATCCTCACTCCACACATCAAAACAATCTTCTTCATACATAAAACACATTGTAATGGTTTATAATCATTTTTTCCTCCTAACATTCTGAGGTAATTCTTAATTAGTCCTTTAAAGGTTTCAACCAAAAATGTTACCTTTAGCTTATGGGTTTTGCTGATATGAGGTGCTTACAGATGCCAAATGTTTAAGTATATATGTGAGGGAACAGCTTAGACCAGGGTTGGGGAACCTGTGGCCTTGAGGCCACATGTGGCCTTCTAGGTCCTTGGGTACCACCTTTTGACTGAGTCCAAATTTTACAGAACAAATCTTTTTATTAAGTGGATTTCTTCTGTGAAGTTTGGATTCAGTCATAGGGCCACACTTGAAGACCTAGAGGGCCACATGCAGCCTCGAGGCCGCAGGTTCCCCACCCCTGGTTAGATATTTAAGAATCCCTGTGAACCAGGCTTGTAGACAACATATGTTAGAAAGACAATATTTGTAAGTTTAAAATAAAAGTTAAACTATTTATAAATCAAGAGTACTAACTAGTGTAACAAATATGAGCTACTCTAAAGAGAATGTTAAAAGATTTTGATGTGTATGATAACATCAGTGTGGGTACTCTGTTCGCTTGTGGAGATTATACCCATCCCATACTTGACCGTGCTATCATACTCATGGAAGTCTGCCAGAGGAAGTCTGTCCACTGCGATAGGAGCTTCTTCTAGATCTCTTGTGAGATACCTGTGGGCTATTCTTTGGTTTCCACTCACTCTTGCTTTATGACCAGCCATCTTTTTTCCCCTCTAATGACAAATCTTTAATGACAACTTCTATATCTCTGCTCCAAATAATTGTTTATTGATCCCATGGTGAAACTTGCTTACCCCCAGCATGTACCTTTAACTCAGGGAGAATCTTGATTAATTAGAAGAACAAATCTGAAGTAGAAGAGAATAGAGTTACTAAATGATAAAGATAGTATGGAATAGTGATACAACGCTGCCCTTGGTATCCAGAAAACCTAGGTTCAAGTTCTCTTCTTCAAGAGGGGTTCTTAACGTGGTGTCTGTGAAGTTGTTTAGTAAAAAAAAAAAAAAAAATTTTTTTGGATAACTATTCCTTTTTTTTTTTAAGGTAGTTGGGGTTAACTGACTTGCCCAGGGTTACATAGCTAGTAAGTATCCGATGCCAGATTTGAACTCAGGGCCTTCTGGTTCTAGGGCCAGTGTTTTATCCACTATACCACCTACCTTCCCCTAACTTTATTTCAATATGATTGATTTCTTTTGTGATCCTATGTACTTTATTTTTTGCCTGTAGATATATTATTCTGAGAAGGGTCCTTAGCTTCACTAGAATGCTAAAGCATTCTATGACACAAAAAAGGTGAAGAACCCTTACTCTTACACATACTAGCTGTGTGATCACAGACAAATCATTTAACCTCTCAGAACTCTAGGCAAGTCTCAAAGACTATAAGTTACAGATGAGCTATTTTTCTTTATTTGTAGAGGAAATGTCCACACTGGGAGTCCCCCAAACTAATGAAATCATAGGTCCAGACCCACCCCCAAATAATTACTAGATTAAAATTATGTAACGCTATTAATCTAGTAACCAGATTCACTTCTATTTCAAATCAGTTACTTAAAGATGTATTTTGTTAAATTTACTTGTCATACTTTTGACAAGATTTCACTTCTCACCTTTCGAGGTTTCAGTGAGACATCCCCAACTCTAGTTTTCATTTGACATCCTCTCTTTTCTTTTCTGTTCATGAGCTTCTAGCCTTGAGGTGTATTTGCTATGTCTGAAATTGCACTATTTTCTTCTTGAGATAATTTCAAACTCTTTTGTAATTAACCTCAGTTACAATCTCTCTCTCTCTCTCTCTCTCTCTCTCTCTCTCTCTCCCTCTGTGTGTGTGTGTATGTGTGTGTGTGTGTGTGTGTGTTAGGAAAGAGCATGGTGTGACAGAAAGAGTGTTGGACTCTTTACTCAAAAAATTCTGTTTTTGAATCCTGAATTTGCTACTTATTACCTATGTGCCTTTGGTCAGGTCACTTAATTTCCCCTGGGCCTCAGTTTTCTTATTTGTAAAAGAGGGGAGTGTTGGATACATTTAAGAGATGTATTGCCCTAAAACTGACTCAGTCTTGTTTTCTAGTAGAGTCCCATTTGTTATTCAATGTTGAAGCTAGCAGCACCACTTAATATGGTGCCTTAGAAGGACTCCTCCCATTCGACTATCACAGTTACCAAAATGCATCAAAAGACTTTAGGCCTCTGACAAGGGATGCAAAATTTTATCAACGGCATCTCTGGATGAATGTTTATCAAGGAGCCATTATTAATAACCTCGTAAGAAATCCATCCACAGGTATTTATTCTTTGTCCAGTTTCAATTTTTTTCCTGAATTAGGGATTTATACTCATCTTAGGTTGGTCTAGGTTTCTGAATAGCACATGGGTAGATTTCCTTATGCGGCCCCACTTTGATAGGATGGATCCATTTTCTCACATTGATGGATACTTGTGCCGGTACAGATCACAACCTATCCATGATTTTTCATATTGTATAGAGGCAGGTAAGTGACAGTGGATAGAATGCTCAAAAGACCTGAGTTCAAATCCTGTCTTGGTCATTAATTACCTGTATGACCCTGGGCAAATCACTTAACCTCTCTCAGCCTCAGTTTTCTTATCTGTAAAAGGGGGATAATAATAGCATCTAACTCTCAGAGTGGTTGTGAGGAAAAAATGATTTAACACGTAAAGTACTTTGCAAATCTTAAAGCATTATATAAATGTTCTTTATTATTATTCTTGCCTATCCATGTCTTTCTATAAATTCTCCATTTAGGATCAACCAATATGCTGAAGACTTTCTTGTGGGTTTTTTAAAATAATATTTTGGGGATATCAGTGCAAGATTCCCATTCCATTAGGCCCGCAACTAATTAACAGTCAAGGCATCTCAGAGTCGGAAAGTATCTTAGAGATCATGTAGTCCAACCTGTACCCAAACAGGAAGCTTTTCCATAACCTCCCACTTGAGCCATCCATCCATCTGTGCTACCTGTAAGCCTTATTACATAAACATTGACTTCCTGTTCTAGTCAAATCTGTTCTTGATTATTTCTTTCCTGCTATGTCTCACATTCTGATCATCATTGATAATATGTCACATTTTGCTTATGTTCAACGTTTCTGTTCTCCTGTCAGTAATTCCCATTGTGAAGGACCTTTTAATTAGAAATAAAGCACAATTTAAAACTTTGTATGGGCTAATTTAGTAAAGGTTAATAAAGAAATATTTGGTATTAATTTTTTTTGTCATTTGAGTCCATGTATCTTGATAACTGAGATACTGATTTCCTCCTTAGTCTCCCTTATTCCAAAATCTCTCCTCCCCTTCTAGTCCATACTTCACACAACTGCCAAGGTCATACTAAAGCACAGGCCTGACTATGTTACTTCCCAAGTCAAGAGGCTCCAATATTTGATACTATTGTCCCTAGGGTCAAATATAAACTCCTGTTTGGCGTTTAAAGCCTTTTAACATCTGGCTCCAATTTACTTTTCTGGGCTTATTAAATGTTACGGCCCAGCCAAACTGACCTCCTTGTTGATTGTGTGTGACATTCAATCCTCCAACACTTTGCCTTTGTACAGACTCTCTCTCATACCTGTCTCTTCTTATCCTAACTTCTCAGAATCCTTAGCCCCCTTCAAGGCTCAGGCAAGAGTGCTCTCCCTAAACTACGGGTACTTCCTCACTCCCCTCCTCCAAAAAAAGTTACTATTTATTTTGTAACTGTATACACACACACATTTGTCTGTATGTACATAGTATCTATCTACATGTGCATGTAGCAAGTTTTTGTTTTTGTTTTTTGGTGAGGCAATTGGGGTTAAGTGACTTGCCCATAGTACGTGTAGCAAGTTTTAAGAGAAAATGATCCCCTATTATAGACTATATACCCAACCCAGGTGAGCTGTGCAGTGTATTTTACAAGTTGAAAACCACATCATCCTCCCCTTCCCTCAACTTGCTTACTGCTTGACTTGTTAATAATCTTATTAATTTTCTACCTGAGTTCTAAGATAATCAAAGGATATGTTCTAATATTTTCTCATAAATTAACAGACATGCAAAACCTCTCATTAATCAGCCGTGAGCCTCCACCACAGTTTATAAAATAAACTAGAGAAACCATAACACCTCTCTCTCTCTCTCTCTCTCTCTCTCTCTCTCTCTCTCTTCCTCTCCTTCTGTCTCCCTATTCCCCCCTTTCTCCCTTTTCTTATAGACTAAGTCAGCCTTGCAGGCTATATAATTTGTTAACAATGTAACAAGCAATACACAAAAATAGTTAAATATTTCAACATTATATCATGGTGAGAAAGATTACATCCAGAATTACCTCTAATCATTAATTACAACTGTTGATTTCTCTTCAACTCTGGAAACATAGTACCACCATTCAGTTCACTCAGGATAGCAATGTCTGTGGAAGATTCTATTCAGGATACCTTCTTCACGAAATAAGTTAAACTGAGTTTTCTCGCAAAATATCTCTTCAATCATTTTTTGGTTGACAATAAATTTACTCAGTTTTTCAGGAAAGAAATTTTCTTAGTCCTTTTGGTCATCAAACAAGTCTATCTCTAGACATGATAGTTAAATTGTCTCTCTTCTAAGATCCATTTCTTCCTAAAATCTATAGTAGCAACTATCAAAGTTGTAGTTTACATGTAAATGTTGTTCTCCTTAATAGGATGTAAGATCAGAGACTGTCACTTTTTTCTTTCTGTGGTGCAGTGGAAAGCAGCATTGACTTTGGAGTCAGAGAACTTCCATTCAGGTTTTGCCTCTGATGCTTACTATTTGCATTGACCTCTCTGGGCCTCTTTTTCCTCATCTGTTAAATGAGAGAATTATACTAGTTGTCCTCTGAGGCCTCTTGATCTATGATTCTGTGACCCAGGATTTAACATAATGTTTGACACATAGTAAGTGCTTAAATGCTTATTGATTGGCAATCAGTAACCAAATTTCTTTTTAATGCTTTAGTTTTTGTTTGTTTGTTTCTTTTACAGCTCCATCAGCATCACCTCTGAATGTTACAGTATTTCTGAATAGATCCAGTAATAATTTAGAAGTAAGATGGGAAAAACCTCCACTTAAGCGCCAGGATGGTGAACTGATGGGCTATGTGATATCGTACATGTGGCAGGGTGTGGAGTCATCTGTAAGTCGAAACTGGAAAAAATAAACTCCAATGTGCCTTTTTTGACTTGCTCTTCTAGCCTTTTCATGATAGCCATAGTTGAGCAGTTTCTTGACCATTTTCTGTCTGTGAATAGACTTGGTTTGTTCTCCTCAATTCAATTCAGCAAACCTGAAGTGCCTGCTCTGTGAAGGGAAGTAACATAAAATAAAGCTGGGGAAATGGGTGTGAGTCACACTGTATAGACCTATAAATGCCGGACTGAGGATTCTGTAGCTTATCCTAGGGCCAGTAAGAAGCCACGGAAGCTTTTTGATTAGATTGGTTAGATTAGGGCTTAACACAATTCAATTCGTGTTTTTGGAATATCAATTTGGCTGCTGTATGTAGTATGGATAAGAATGAGGAAGAGTCTGGAAGCAGGGAAACATTAGGAGCCTACTGCAGTCATCCAGATAAGAGGCATATAAAGAGTGAATAAACTTCTTGTAGCTGCCTTCTAAGAGTATGTGGACAATCATTGTCTCCTACATTTGGAGGGTGCTTTTAACTTTTATGTGCTGTAATTTTTAACATCTTATTTTACTCAAACATATATAAATCACTTTGCAAACTTTAAGGTATATCAATTTTACACACACACATACATGTCTACATTCTCAACATTAGAGAAGAACATCGTGGAAGGGAGCTAACTTGTTCCAACTCTACTACGAAACTCCCCTTGACATGACTGTCAGAAGTGAAATACTGAGCTGAATGAGCCTCCGGGCCTCAGTTTCTTTATATGTAAGATGAGGATAATATTACCTTTATTACTTGTCTTTCAGGTTTGTTGTAAGACTCAAAAGAGACAATGTTTATAAAGTGCTTTAAATCTTTAAAGTGTCACAGAAACACAGGTGATCATAATTAGGCAGCTAGTTGATACAATAGATAGAGCACTAGACTTGGAGTCAGGAAGACCTAAGTTCAAATTCTGCCTCTGATATGTACTAGCTAGGTGACCCTTGACAAGTCATTTAAGTCCTCTAAAATCATCTGTAAAATGAGGGTAATAGCAATCCCTACATCCCATGGTTGTTGTTAGAATAAAATGAGATAATATGTGTAAAACACTTACCAAACCCTAAGGTGCTATATAGATATTAGTTATTAATATAATTACAAAATTAGTTTCCTTACCTGTGAAATGAGAATAATATTAACCTGTCTGCCTTATGGAATTGTTGTGAGGATCACATGGGATACAGTACATGGCTAAGGTACTATTTATTGTGAGCTTATGGGAAAAACAAAATAAGTTGTTTAACAATATCTGGAACTATTACCTCAGTTATGTATTTTGGGTGGTAAGTCCCTTTGTACTCCTAGTTTGTCAGTGATATAGTCAATACAGTGACTGCTGTAATCTCAGACAGGACCTTAGGCCTTTCTGAAAGTAGGGAATACGTATGTGATAAGTCTTCAAATTTATGGAGTAATGCTATGAACTGAAGGCTTGGCCTCTGCCACCAAAACAACAATCCTTCTCCATAAAAAGACAGGTGGCAAATTGTTTCTTTCATAAGTATTTATTTCATTAGCACATTTGTGTGTATCCTATTTATTTGTGTTATCTCTAAAATATTTATTTTTCAATGTGGAGAGCAAAACATTTGAAGATATTTGGTTATATTAAATAATTCATAAAACACAAGATTGCATTTTCATTTCCCCTTTTCAACCCTACATGGCTCAGATACAATGAAATTGGGAAAAGTTTCTATTGCCTTGTGACTTTTTTGCACTTTGAGCCATTGTGTAATGTCTGAAATTTATGACTTATTATTTCCCAAGTTCTTTCTTATAAACTGACTTGAGAGCTGCTTTACATTTTTGCTGGGATACGCAAATGGTCTTACCTCTCTGCTGCTGGTGGTGACTTGACAGGCTGCTCATATTGCCCATGGAACTTTTTCATAGACTATAGGTAGAAAATATATCAGAAAGTTTGAGAGAGAAGGTAGCTGTGAAAATTGAAGCACTATAGCTTTTGCCTTTCTGTTTTCAAAGATTTTTAATTTATGTTTTTGGTTTTTTATTTTTATCCCTTAAATTTTCTCCAGTATTTCTCCCTATATTCCTTCTCAGAGAAGCATCTCGTTTAAAAAAGATTTTTTTAAAACAAAAAGAGGAAGAAGAGGAAAAAATCAGCAATAATCATTGTATCAAAAAAAATCTGAAAATATATGCAATGCTCCATATCTGTGTACCTCCCATGTCTGCAAAGGAGTTAGAGGAGGTGTTTTCTCATCTCTTTTCTTTGGAGCCATTTATGTTCTTTGTAATTTTTTTTTAGGCAGCTTGGTGGTGCAATGGAGAGGGCACTAGACCTGGAATCAGGAATACCTGAATTCAAATCCAGTCTCAGATATTTATTAGCTGTACGACCCTTCACAAGTTACTTAACCTCTGTTTGCCTCAGTTTCCTCATCTGCAAAATGGTGATAATGACAACTATCTCCCAAGGTTATTACAAGGTGAAATGAGATAATATTTATAGAGTGCTTTGCAGATTTTAAAGCAATATATAATACTAGCTATTATGATGATGATTATAATTTTGAACAATTTACTTTCAGTGTTTGGAAGTTTTTGTTCTTTCCATTTATATTGATGAAGTTGTGTATATTGTTTTCTTGCTTCTGTTTACTTCACTCTATACCAGTTTATGTAATTCTTTGCATGCTTCTCTCTCTTCATTGTATTTGTCCTTTCTTAATAGCACAAAAATACTCTTCTATTACCTTTACATACTACAGTTTATTTAGCCATTCCCCAAGCATTGGGGATATACTTTGTTTCCAGTTCTTTGATACTACAAAAAGTGCTAGACTTTTTTTTTAATCAATGACCTCTTTGGCGTGTAAACTTAGCAGTGCAATCTTTTGGTCAAAAGATATAAACAACTTTAGTAACCTTGTTTGCGTAATTCCAAGTTGCCTTCCAAAATGAGTATACTGTGCTAACCATGCACTATTAGGCCTATCTTCCCACAATCCCTCCAACACTGACTATTCCCATCTTTTGTTATCTTTGCCAATTTTCAGGGTATGAGGTAAAATCTCAGGGTTGTTTTGATTTGCATTTCTTTTAATATTAGATGATTTGAGCATTCTTTCATGTGGTTGTTGATAGTTTACAATTTTTTTTGAGAGTTGTTTTTTTCCTATCATGTGACTACTATTGATTGATTGACTTTTTGAAAAAAAAATTTCAATTTATGGAACAAAATAAGCATTTCCATAATACAGTACAATTAAAAAAAAAGAAGATTGCACGTGAAACTGCAAATCTACCATGTACAACCTGCTATTCCGTACAACAAATTTATCATATAAATTTCTTTTTTTCCTTTTTTTTTCCTCCCCTTCCCTCCACCCTAGCCCTATTGGCTTTTAGGATTATATACATTTTTTAGCTGTCTGTATATCTTGGGTATCAAACCCTTACCTAAGAAATTTGGTACAAAGATTTTTTCCCATTTAATTACTTTCCTTCCAAGCCTCTATGCCTTCATTTTGTTTGTACGGTTACCTTTCAATTTAGTGTCATAAAATTTCATATTTTATCTTTTGAAATTGCCTCTGTCCCTTCTTTGGTTGAGAATTTATCTCCTACCTATAGCTGCAAAAGCTTTTTTCCCCTAATAGTGCTGGTGATTGATTACAAGGTAGAGGGATATGGACAGCTACATTAGGAAATAACTTATGTGAAAACAGAAGGCATTTATTTAAAAAAGAAAACAAATAATAGCATGGTTGAGATCATGTATCTTTTGCTTAGGACAAGATGTTTCCATTATCAACTAACTATATATTATTGTATCCCACTACCCCCAAAAAGCATATAGTAAAAAGAAAAAAAATTAAACCCTACCCTAAATCACTGTTAAATGGATTATGAAGTATATTTTTCTCAGAACCTAAGTCACTTTATAGGAATAATTTAAGATATTTATCAGTTTCGATATTCAGGGATCAAGTACTTACTCAAGTCTAAGTACTAGGGATACAAAGGTCTACAGAACACGGTCCCTGACGGGGAATAACTTGTATTCTACAACGCTGGCCACTGGCTGCCACTACTCTTTGAGTTTCTGTGCCTGCGTCTAATAGTCTCCCTCCTCTCACCTCCCACAGTTTCTGATTTGGTGTGGGCTGGGAAACCAGATAATTAAATTCACTAGATGTGTATGTAAATATGGGTCAGAGTGAGAGGTCAAGAGAAAAACGCATGGCATTCCTGCAGCGATTTTTAGACAGCTATTTCAAAGGCCTTCTTCCTAACTCCCTCCCTAGTTCCAGCGCAGGAACTTCAAGCTCTATAATAAGTGAGCTGTTACCTTTATGTGGTACCTTTATTTTGCAGAATGCGGTAAGCACCACCGAGATCAAAAGATCCTTTTATTGAAAAAAAAAAAAAGCTTTCCATGGAGTTGATGTTTAAAGGAAAATATTTTAATTGACACTTGGAAATATGGCAGTGGCAGTGTATGTTTTCCACTGTTTGTCATAAATCAACTACTTGAGAATTCTGAATATCATCATAGTGCACATTTTCTTGGCTTTTAGATTTGGACAGTCCAAAGTCCTATGTTCTAATAAGGCAGGTTTCTAAAGTTATCTCTTGGCACAATTCTATAATAATCTATTTTCTGAAATAATAGAATTTTGATATACAAGAGACCATAAAGACAATCTAATCCAACCCCTTTATTTTATAGGTTCAAATTGTCAGGTATAAAAGGAGTTTATTTTGCCTATTTTCTAGGTATACCAGGTAACAATCCTAATAGTTTTCTAGCCATTCCTTGACTCAGTCACCAGGGAATATCTGGCTCAAGGTACATCACAAAACATTTTTTTTCTGAGGAAAGTGGGGTCTATATTATTCTGAGGATTGTCTGATTATTAATTCGCTGATCATAATTTTCATGATCAATTATTTGCTTGTCATTTTCTTGATGTTTTCCCATG